TATGTTTTTCTCCTCGCTTTGGCTCTGATGGTGAAAACCACGGCATGGCTCAGCACCTCCTGAGGCTAAAAAATAGCCAAAGCTGACTATTTCCCTTCAATAGACGCCAAAGTGTCCATGATTTTACTAAGAATAGGGAAACACATCAAAACTGTTGTATTGATGTACATTGTAAACAACAGTATGCCAGAGATGTGTCAAGACATTATGTTGAAAAACATTGGAGTATTCCTTTAAATATGTCATATCATTCAGAAAAAATAAATTGCCTGTCTATGACTCGCAATGGCAGTCTCGCCATCAGGCAGTTGTTTTTAAATGACTCACTTACTTTGAAATTTTTTAGTCAAAAACTGTCCTCAGATACATTTGCATTCCAGCATAATGAAAGAGACTGTTCAGTCCAGCGTGTTTTTTTTTCCTTTTACAAACCACAGTGATACTCTCACTATTATGTGAGCCTGACACTGTTAGAAAGTCTCAAGAACGCAACATAAATTCTGTTATGCAACGGTGCTGACACTACATAGCAATAGAATTTCAGATCAGATGTTATCCTTCCTCATTCCTAGATTGTCATTTAAGCTAAAGCCTAATTGATCAGAAGCCATGAATAGATCACAGTCTCCTCGCTGTTCTCTCTTTTTGCTTGACTAGCAGTCAAATTCTGTGTTGAAACTCAAAAAAGCAAAAGAAAAGGGGACTGACTGGGAGAGGTGGCACTATCCATCTTAATAGAGCAGGAGGATTAATTAACTGCCTTTGAAAAGTTTATCATCCTTCCAGAGAAAATAAAACTTATCACAGAGTAACTTTCTATTTCCTCACTTAGCCATATTAATATCATATTACTAGGAATTTTGCTCTTATGGAAGTAGTAGTTTTTGTCAGTCTTTATCCTTTCTGGTCAAGAATGAAGCAAAACAGTTTCTCAGTTAAATTAGCAGAGCACTCAGAACAAAGTATCATGCTCTTAAGAACACTTAATATGGTTAGACCATACAATACTCTCCAGAATTATTGGTAAAAATTCCAAACTGAGGAAGCAGAGGAACCAGCAGCTTCCCCTCGTCATTCTGGACTCGCTGAGCTGAGGCACAGCCTTCCTCACTCTGTGAAAAGAGACAAAACATGGAACAAGCTTGGCTAGTGCGGATGATGCCCAAACGAGAGGCACCTTGCTGTGGATTGCAGTGATACCGACCATGACTGTGGCTGCAGCTGTGTTTGCCGACCTCGAGGACTCAGAGAACGAATGGGAAGCACTACCCCAGGCAGTAGCCAAGATCTCCATGTCGCCCCCATCTGCCTATTCCTGCACACCTCCCAGACCAGCAGAAGCTCCTGTTCCCCAGCTCCCTCTCTTGATTCTGTCTCTCTTTCACTCCCTTTCTCTGAGCCCTCCAGGTCATCAATTGTCTTCAGATGAGCTGCCAAGGCAAGAAGACTAAAACAGCTCCACCTATTAAGCCTTGCCTTTCTTGCTGTGGCCCAGCCACTGGACTTCTCCTGGTCTTTGATCCTGGTGGCAACCTACAGGTGGAGTCATTGCTGAAACACCTCAAGCTATGGGCAGAATGGTCCTCTCCCTGATTGAAGACAACTGTAAGGAATCAGAGGAGGAGCATAGCTCTTATAAAGAGGCTCTCCAGTTTGAGAGCAAGAGGCCACAGAAAAACAAGACTCTTAACAGGACTCAGTAGGGCTTAGGTGGGTTTACTTGGGGTGATTATACTTAGGATGTATAAATAAAGTACTGTGCCCACTCGCGCTGGTGTTTGTGTGTGTTTCTGAGCTTTCGTCAGGTTTCCCAGTCAGTGTGCGTCTACCCCTCCCCAGGCTGGTGCCACACCACATTATCATCCTGCCTTGTGCATCTCTAGGGGTGTGTTGTACGTAAAAAAAATTACTACACAGATATCACAGTTGTTTGATAGCATAGCTAAGGCATAATTATAAGACAGTTAGCTAGAAGTGGCACCTTGAATGAAAATAAAGCTATGAAAATTAAATGGTGCATTACAGCTTTCCATATCTTGGTTTCAGATTCTTCCAACAGTTACTATAGTGGCCGATTTAGATTGTCCTCTACCACACTGAGTAATTTTCCTAATCCAGCATGACAACTGAGCTTTCCAAAATGCTTTACTGATCTCTCAAAAACACATCAGTGACCAAAATAAGTGTCTGAGTCTATGACAAAACTGTATGCCAATATTTAATTAAAAATTCATCTACTACAAAATTCAATATCTAAAGAGAGTCAAGTGTGGAAAGAAAGAAAAAATGAGAAATGACAGAATGATTAACTGCATTTTTTCTTTCTACACATTTCACAAACTCACTTGGTTTTGATCTGATGCTGCAATTTCTATAGTGTTTTAATATAGCACAGAACTTTGCTGCTGTTGATGGAGCTGCTGTCTGTGTTAATGAGTTTTAGTGGAGCACTTTGTTTGGACAGGTGAACCACTCATAAATAGTTATCTAATGTGTCAGCAATTACTGTGGCTGTGAGTCACACAGGTTTATTGTCACATACACATAAAACAAGGCACCTAGGTTTCTTCTGAACAGTTACACATTAGATATTTTGAGTTTTTTTTGTTTTGTTTTGTTTTTGTTGTCTAGTATAGTTGACTTGTTGTAATTTCATTGCAGCTATACCCCCACCTCCTCGGTCATGGTTCTAATAGACTATTTCATGTTGTTATGTGATGACATAACTGCAAGACAGACCAGCATTAACATGACAATTAAGTGAAAATATACATTATAGAGAGGAGGTTTTTGAGTGTTGAGAAGCAGCAGAGAAACACAAAAAGAGTGAGGAGAGCAAAAAGTTTGTCACTTCACTACCAAAGTTAATGTTATTTTTTCAGTCAGAATAGAGTGCTGTACAGGCTCAGCATACTGACAAATTTTGTAATCCATTTCAAGTAACTAATTACTAATTACCATTTATGAATTACTAATTACCTCATTCTACATTACTCTGTACCTTATTATCTCACTATATTGGCAGATACAGCATGTTTCTTAAAACAAGCAAAATCATCTGATATAGTGGGATCATTTCACTTGTGACAAAATAACAATAACAAGTAAAAATGTTGAGAAACTGTTAAATAATCTTCTAATATTCTTACAACAGTCTCAAAATGAGATACATCACATTGACTAGATTTAAGATTATTGCAGTTGCCAAGACATTCTTGCAGTGTATACAGATGCACCACTTGGGAGCTCAAAGCCTCAACTAAGACAGGAAAGGGTCCAATTCCTGTCGTTTTCTTAGGACCCCAGAATCACTAAATCCACCCCTGGAGAGAGAGATAGAGAGAGAGACTATAATTTGTACCGATGTTTCCATTGTATTCTGGGGAATGTTACTGATCCAATACAGATACTCTGCATTGATAAAGGTCAACCACGTCGACGTGGGAGCGCCGTGTGTGTTTGTGTGTACTGTGTGGTCAGTAGTGCTGCTTCCTGTGGTTTGTCGTAATGGCATGAGGCTCAGTGGGACCTTTAAACACACACACGCACGCACACACACACACTGTTTTGGGATATTTTCTGATCAGGCTTGCCAAACCGAGTTACCACCTTTAAACAGAAAGCCGCTAATGCGCTTCGAGCGCGCCGCTGAAGATGCAGGTGCGGGGACATGCACGAGCACAGCTAAAACATTCGCAACAAAAAGTAGGACTGCTGTTATGCAGTATTATTTTAGTGTTCTTATATCTATCGTTCAAACCACCTAACTCTAGGTTACTAACTAACTAACTAACCACCATCATCGTCATCATCATCATCCTCATCAACGACCGTGCGCGCGACCTCGTGTAAACAACTCTTCTGCATCTGCTGTAATCCTGGCTAGTTTTCTTCTCTACATGAATCGAGGGACAGTCTTGCTGCTCGCTGTTTGATCCGTGCTCACGAGCTCGAGGCTTGTTGTTTGGTCTCCAGCGCTTCGGTGCCAGAGGATTCAGGAAGTGTGCGCGCGCGCCAGTCCGCTCCTGCGCCACGTGCGTCAGCTCTCAGTTACAGGCACGCGAATCAGATTCAGGGCGTCCCGGCTAACGTTATTATAGAATGGAAAGCCGACGCGTTGGAGCTCTTTTCAGACGCTCGTGCTAATGGCGCGAGTCTCCGATGAGAGCGCGCCTTGACTGTCAGCTTTAATTGGGAAGCTGTCGGACGGCGTTTAACGTAATTGGCTCTGAACTCACAGTATCAATTAATTAAGCTCCTCTGTGACTCACTCGAGATGCCGCCACTCAAATAAACGTTGTGGGGCACCATCCCGTTCAGGTGTGTTGCCGGCGCGCGCATGCGCACGGAGCTGCGTTCATCTTGGATATAAATCTGAGCAGCGCTCGCGCTCTAAGCAACGTTTTTGCTCCGGACTGAGCGCGCGGCGGGAGGCGGATTTCGCAAAGCTCAGCAGCTGTTCAGGATTCAAGAAAACACATTTGCAGGTAATGACCGCAGAAATAGACTCAGGAAAAGTGTGGAACCGATGTACACATATGAGTCATGTAAATTCAATAACTTTTTTTTAGTGGAATCAGTAGTGGTTAGTAGTAATAGTAGTACTAATCATATTAGTCGTCATTCTTTAAGGATTTTGCCATTTTTGAGTTTCTTTAGATTTACTAAATATTTGTTAGAGAGAAATAGCGTTTATACAGACCTTAATTTTAAGTGTTAGAAAGAGAAACCTGGTTTAATCAGCAGAGTGGTGCTTTGGATCAAAAAAGAAACAGTTTAACTTTCTGTAATGCAAGTAGATATTTCTTTTTTCCTTATCCTTTTTATTCAGCTGATTGTTTTGATCATTGTCACTGAAAAGCAGAAAGGGGAAAGTGAGGATGGTCCCGTTTTTTTCTTATATCTTTACTAATTTCATTCTTATCATGTTCAGCCGTCGCTGGTGGTCCTCTGTGATGGTCAGTAATTCAGTTTCCTTTCCAGATAGCCGCGGATCCTAAATGAAGCTGCACGTGCTGCTCGCGGCGGCGGCTCTATTGGGAGGCTTTCTCCCGCGTAACGAATGCAAAGCAATAGACACGAGCGGCGGTTTTTCTACGTTACCGGAACTGCAGCCGCCGGTTCTGCCGATTCTCATGCGCGTGGGAGAGGAGTACTTCATCAGGCTGGACGGCCCACAGCGGAGCGCGCGGCTCTCCCCGCAAAGCGGCTCGCCACGCGCGAGCGCCGGAAAGTGCGCGCTCCAGCTGCAGCTCACGCGCGGGCTGCTGCGAGGGCGGGTCGCTGAGGCAGGAAACGCGTTAACGGACAGCGCGACCGAGCGCGAGCGTCGCTCCGACGAAGCACCCATCTCACTGGACCTGACGTTTCACCTGCTGCGCGAGGTGCTGCAGATGGCGCGAGCCGAGCGGTTAGCTCAGCAGGCGAGCAACAACCGCAAAATGATGGACATCTTTGGCAAATAGAAGCTACACATTCCCCCTCAAAACTTTTACACCACTCTGCTACTGATCTGTGGAAGCCTGTAACTTCTTTTCATACGTAGCATTAGGCCACGTTTAGTCGCGTGTGTTGGGTGACAGTGATTACAGTACAGTGAGATATGTTTATTTGTTAAAAAAGTTGTTAAATAAACAGTTTTTAAAAAGTAGACATGTTCATTTTCTTTTATTTGACAAGATCAGTCGTATGTTTCTGAACGGTTATTAATCCACTTGCAATATTTTATATATATATATATATATATATATATATATATATAAGTAGGGTCCAAGTGGGTTTGAGACCACACTGAAAATGTGGATTTTTTTCAATTCAACCTGGAAATAAACAAGAGCAAGTTTTAGAGTTCAAACAAAGCAATTCAAACAAAGCAAAAAACTATGATCAATAAAATGAAGAAGAAATATTCAATAAGTCTTATCTCTTCCACTGAAGCTTATAATCAGTGGAAGAGATAAATCTCTTGGGTGGATCTGGCTTTTGCACAAACTTGTGGAGCCCAGCTTGAGTGCACACTGTCACTGAAACAAAAGGGAGACATACCAAATACTAAGAAATTCTGAAATGCATGAATGCATAGAATTTAAAAAGGTTCTACTTTTCACTTAAATGTTACGCTGATCATATAAAAAGCATTGTACTATATTAGAAAGTATAGCAGAATAGAAGCATCTTCACTAGTAGTCTCACATTTTTGGACCCCACTGGATACATAATAATAATAATAATAATAATTATAATAGTAATAAAATATACACTCTTCTTCCTTTTGAAATATAATATTTTACTGGCACATTCTTATGTGCACACATGGTGTAGCTTCATTTGAGGGAAAAAAATTAAAGACACACACAATAAAGTCATAAAGAAAATCTGTCACATTGTCTCCACTGATTTTCCAGTAACAAAGCAGAACTTGAGAGAGTCTATCTAGCCTGGGCAGGCCGGCAGTCAGGTTATGTTATTTGGGTGTATTGAGCCAGGAAAAGGAGAAAACATGACGGGGTGGTCCTTCATCTGTGCTCTGAGAACTAACTGCACCAGCAGGATTGGAGGAGGCCTGAGAGAGAGAGAGAGAGAGAGAGAGAGGAGATAGAGAGAGAGAGAGAGAGAGAGAGGGAGGGAGGGAGGAAAAAAAGCGAGCAAGAGAGAGACTGTTAATAATAGGCTGTTATTAAACTGTTAATAATAGACTGTTATTAAAAAGCAATTTACAATGACGTTTAGCCACATGAAATCAGCTAATTGTCGAGGTTTGTACCTGTGTAACAATGGTTTGCAATTTACTGGTTTGTGTTTTTTAATGACTGACTATAAAGTGTTATTGGGTTATCTTTTTAACATGACCTTCTAAATTCCTCTACTGTCCATATTTACATTTTAACTAAACAAACAGAAGGACGGTATCTAAGTGAAATTACTATTAACACAAATGAAAATCGGAAAGTCCATCAGATGTAGAAGTTTCTAGTTAAAACACTGTATGGAGTTTAAGATTTATGAAGGCTAAAATAGTGAAGGATTAAAAAGAAAGGCTGGAGAAGGAGGACTAAAGACTGGAAAAAAATAACGTAAGATGAGCCAGAACTCTGAAGCTTCACACAGAGTTTGATAGAACTGGAAAAAATTACTGTGTACTTTAAATGTTCAGGTTCTAAGCACCTTTCTGTTACACTTTTTATACATGTCACAGTGTTAAGCTGGGCTGTTGCCCGGTTTGAAAATAAATGTTGGACAAATGAACGAATGAACTAACAAACAACAAACAGGCACGTGAGCCAGCTTGCTCACTCATTTATGCTTGCTAGGTTGGCATTCCTTCAATAGTTAAGTTGCTAAGTTGCTTAGACTCAAAGAGAGCAGGTCAAGCATTAAGCTTGCTCAGCTGGTTTGATGTAACGCATGCAGTTAAATTTTTTTGTCTCGCTTAATGGGGAATTCCACTGATTTTTCAAAACTTCTCATTCAATCTATGAGATGTAAACAAAATCATTTAGTGTGGTTTGATGTGAAATGCTCCATTCTAGACAAACGTACCAATTTTCTTTACAATAGTGGAGACCGGAATCGAGGGTCACAATATCAACGAAGAAAATATAACCATTATTGTCTCAGGCATCAGGCAAGGTTTTCATTACCATTACCTGTAACAATTTCCCACGAGGGAGCTTTTAGAGATCTTAAACTATGACTTGGTAAGTTTCTTTAGAATTGAGCATTTCACATCAAACAAAAATCAGTGGAATTCTATTTTAACTGCATCAGAGGCACCAGGATGTCATGACTACATAGGTCATGTTAATCTCACAGAAGTAAGACTGCTGCAATTTGAGAGCCATCCACCGCAGTCGCTTTCCACAGGCTGCATGAGCTGATCCCTCAGTATAACCTGAATCGTTCTCTGGGTGTACACCACACATGCACTCACCCACTTGTTGAGTATATGGTAAAAGTTGATTTATCTGACTATATCACTTCATCCACATCTATGTTGACCAGTGCCTAGGGTTTTTTGCAACACTAAACTTGTGCTTTTATCTGTCGTTTATCTTTGTAATGAATGGCTCATGCACTGCAACTCTACTATAATATCCCTCCCTATGTAATCATCAACAGGCTGTTCTTGCTTTGACATTTTAACATTCTTTGTTACCTGAGGAACAGTAGCTCTTCTGATTTTCCCTTCACATCACAAAAATGCACAAAAATCCATCACTGAATGTGTGCTTCCAACCACAATTTCAACCCTATTTACTATCATTTTCCCCACAGATGTAAATGCAGATCAAGTCACTTTAGATAATGTCCCTAATGAAACATTAGCTAGTCTTTGTGACTAAGTGACTTGCCATCTTGATCCAAAATTGAGGTCATCTAGACCTCCTCAGCATTTTTACACATGCCAAAGAGCATGGTAGGATGTTAACTGCTTAATCGTATCATGTAACGTAGCATGTCCTAAAAGCATACCACGAGCACATAACATTTACGTAGACGTGGTGTGAACTATGATAAAGTTATGTCTAGATATCAACACAACGAATTTAGGATATGATTTAATGAACTGATCATGGACAGTCTCTTAAAGATAGAAGAACAATGATCTCACTGGCTGGGTGACTTTTGAGTGTGTGAGTGCATTCTAGCGTATATAGAAATGCTATAAAGAGGAGATCATTGTCCACAAGCTTACCTGTGCATACCACTCTCCAGTGTTTTTTTGTTCCATACAGTTCAGATTCCAACATCTTCCTACCCAATATCATAATATTAGTGTCCTAAGTCACACGTAAGTTCCTGGGTCTTACATAGAAGCCTCAGATCTACATATAATATCACATTTCTTTAGTGAGTCCACCCTTACAGCTTCTACCTCCAAAGTTCATTCTTAGAAATTGGTTGTATATTCTGCTTCTTACAGTAATCACATTCAGTGATGTTGAGGGCTGAACTCTGGGGTGGTTACTCCATTGCTTGAAGAACACCTAAGCAGTTTCTTTGTTTGATTTGCATTTTTTTTTTACCTTTTAATCATCAATTTCCTATTCTTGTTAACGGCTTCTTGATAGCTATACATCCTTTCAGACTTGAGTTGTGTTCTCACAGTGGAATGATTCACAGAAACACCTGTGGGCTTTGTCAGATCAGGAGCAAGAGAGGAGCTTGAGTTTCTCCTCTCTCTCAAAGATAAAAGTTTTAAGTACTGTTTATCTGATGGTGACAGCTTTGGTGGTCTACCAGGCCTTGGTTTCACATTCATATATATAATTATTTATATCTTACTGATTTTTTTTAACTTCAGTTTCGGAAACTCCTGTTTTTTCACCTATTTTCACTTCCATGTGCAAGTAGTTTATGGCTGATTAGAGTAGAAATTAAGTCAATGTAGGGTGGTTTCTGATTTTTCCGTAGTACTGTAGTTGCTGGTGTGTGCATTTGTTGATGTGTTTTGGATGCAGCAATGCATTTGATTACTACTAGCTTACCTCTGTGGTTGTAGTGGCTGGAGGGTTGTGGGCCGAGCTTGGAGCGGGTGTGGCCAATGGTGTATTCTGTGCTGTATTGATGTTTGTTGTTTGTGCAGGACCTGGAGTAGGGCTGATATTTAGTGTTTGGGCAGGACCTGGAGGTGGTATCTGTGCAGATGTGCTGGGTACTGGTGGTATGGAGTCTGGAGAGAGGATAGGTTTCTGCTGGACAGGGGTGGGGTTTACTCCTCCAGATGCCTGACTTTGAGACCTGCCCTGCCCATCATCTTCATCATCATCATCATCATCATCGTCATCGTCATCCTCTGCCTCATCCTCTTCTGCAAAAGAGAGATGCACAGAGTAACCTTTCTGTTAAATCAAATACAAACACCTTAATGATGGTTTGCTTTGTATTTGTATTTTAAGCCTTCATTTTAGAAAACTCTGTGCATGAGCAAGATATTATACAATTATGCTCATAGTAAGTCTTTCCTTCACATTACTATCCTCTGCTTGAACATTAGGGGTCTAGGCCCAGATTCCTGAAAAGGTATATTGTGAAAATGCCTGCTGTATAAAAAAGCCAAACAAATAAAATTAACTAAGTTGAATTGAACAGTTATATTTGCAGAAATTCCAGACAGAGACAAGTTTAAAGAAGCAAACAGAAGTAGGGAGGAAATAAGCCATCTGTCTGTGCAAGAGACTTAGAGCTGTATTTCACTCCTTTCAAACAAGCACTGAGGCATCACACGTCACTGTCAGTTCACATTACATACATCAGACACTCTGATTTTTTGACATATGATATTTGACTGATACTCTGAAGTTCTGAGATGACATGTAGGTAGCCACTAACCAGGAGGAAATGGCTTAAATCTCTATGTAGCAGACACGTCAAATGGCCAAATGGACCATTCTACCAAATTGGTTCAAACTTTAAAAAAATAAACAAATAAATAAAAAAACTATTTAAAAACATTTAGGTATTTAGATCTTAGACACAAAGATTGCTATCATGTTTTTAAACCCAATGCATTAACTGAGATAATAATAAGCTAAATACATACAAAATCCTCATTTACAGCGTACTTTCTACTGGGAGATGGCTGTCCCAAACCCCAAAATTTCAACTTGTGAAAATAATACTCACCCAAAGCATAAGGATTTTAGTCAGATAAAGTCTTTGGTAAACTTCTAACATTAGCTTCTGGTTTTCACTGGTTGATTTAAGTGCTTCACTTTAATGCCTGGGCTTGCCTCATTTCTTTGCTTGTGATTCTCATCATTCTCACACTTGAAAATATTTGAAAAAGATATTTTAAAAATATTTGAAAAAGATATTTTAAAAATATTTGAAAAAGATATTTTAAAAATATTTGAAAAAAGAATTTAAATTTTGCTATCCAGTCTCAACTTTCTCAGTCCCCTTTTGAGTCTTGGTTCCTTGCAAGGTTTCTTTCTTATGTTTTTATGGAGTTTGTCCTACCACTGTGTCCCTTGACTCGTTCATGGGACTTTGACCTGGATTTCTGCAAAGTTGTCTATCATAAATTTAAATTTACTTGAATTACCATTTTGTAATCTCCCTTTCACAGCTAGACTACTGGAAAAAGTTGGTGAGCTACATTTCCACACATCTAGCATTAAAAAAATTGTTACAGTCTGGTTTCCATTTATGTCATAATACAGAGACAGTTTTACTTAGATTTGTTAATGACCTTCTAGATGCTTCAAATTCTGGAGCAATTAGTATTCTTCTTCTCCTAGATCTCAGTTCTGCTTTTGGGTACTGCTCTTTCCTGGTTATTTCCTACCTCACTGACAGACAACAGTTTATCACTAGCAAATAATATAAATCCCCTACTGCTAACGTTACTCAAGGTGTTCCCCAAGGTTCTGTTCTTGGCCCTCTCCTCATAATGTACATGCTCCCACTTGGCCATTTAATTCATCAACATGGATTCAGTTTTCATTGTTACGCTGATGATACACAGATCTATATCAGGTTCAGCCCCTCTATTCCCTTGCCCCCTCCCTCTCTAACTGCCTGTATCCGTGATAGGAAGAGTTGGATGTGCTCTAATTTCCTTAAGCTTAATTCTGATAAGACTGATGTCCTAATAATTGCCCCCAAAACATTTACTAGTACTCACTCTGATATAAGCTTTGACATTGATGGAGTACATGTAAAACCATCAGAAACCGTTAGTAATCTTGGTGTCATCTTTGATTCCTCCCTTTCATTTGATTATCATATCAACTTACTTATTAAAACCACCTTCTATCCCTTCTGTAACATTTTCCAAACTACATCCCATGCTCAGTAACAATGATCCAGAAATGATTATTGTAATGCCTTTCTTTCTGGTCTCCTCACTAAATTACAGTATGTTCAAAACTCAGCATTTCTCACTCAAACAAAACACTCTGCACACATTACATCTATTCTCTACAAACTGCATTGGTTACCTGTCTCTCCCCATATACAATACAAAATAATTCTCATAACCTTCAAAGCCATACATTCACTTGTCCCTTCATACACAGCACTTCTCCACCCTTACACCCCAGCCCGTACACTTCTAGTACGGGTTTGCTCAAAGTGCCCTGGTTCAGACTGTCCTCAGTCGGTAGTAATGTGTACAGTGTTACAGCTCCAAAACTTTGGAACTCACTTCCTCAGAGTCTCTGTTACCTTACCTGTGTCTCAACTTTTAAGACACATCTTAAATCCTACCTGTCTTTAGTGCTTTCCTTTCTTTCTTTTGCTCTAAATGTAATTTTATTTGAAAAGCGACCTTGGGTGTGAAAAAGGCACTACATAAATGAAACATCTACTACTATTATTATTATTATTATTAAATCAGGTGTGCTGCTGATGGAATTTAATAAATACATGTAATAACTGAACCCAAGGTTCTTCTCCTAACTACGTATATTCTAACCAACACATTAACAATGTTAAAAAAAAACATTCTACATATTTAGTTGTATTAATTTTAATGTTATATACTGACTTTACTGGAAAAAACACACTAACTGCCCCATCAATCCTTACTACTTTCTACTACTTTCTGCTTTTTATGGAGTTGTCTCTACCCACCATTGACACAAGCACTGCTTGCTTGAGTACCACCCCTTTCATGGACTCTGAACCCTCCTGCGATCTGGCAAAGGTACCAGAGCATCTGTTCCACCATCACCAGACTCTGCAACAGCTTCCTCCCATCAGAGGCCATCAGATTACTGAACACACTGACGCCCCTCAACATCCACGAGGGCTTGTACTCAGAAAGTTTCTCGGAAATGAGGATCAGAGGATTCTCTTAGTTTCTATGACTGTACTGACAGGAATTCATCCTAGATTAGCACTCCTACTCCTACTCCTACTTTGACGAGCTTCATAAATACAGGCCCTGGACTAATCTAGACCCATTACAACATCCACCATAGACTGATCACATATCCATTAACCATTACTGCACACCAGCACTTTTACATATTCTGCAGTTGTTTCACATTGTCATGTATTCATCCTTCCTGTAGTCCTGCATAGTATGCTGCCGTTGTGTGTTCCACTGTGGACCTGAAGAACAAAATTTTCTTCCACTGTATACAAGTTCATACTGAGAAATGAAGACCATTAGATTTGACTTGTTAAATAGTTTTAAATAGCTTTTGTGACTGCCTAAGACCTTTGCACAGCATTATAAATATTCACACAGTGATACCTTTGATGAAATCAATGTTGAGGATGGCTCTCCTCTCTGGCTGGAAATTGGCAGTGAAGTGATCCATATTCTCATAGCCACGCTCCAACTTTTCTAAATGAGAGGTGTTCCTGCTCTCTGCTATCCTGAGAGAAAGGGAAAAAAGTTCTAAAAGATGGACCCTCAAAAAGTGTAAGTGTAAAGTGTTGAGTACATCTGGGTTTACTAACTTCTGTAGCAGAGGTTTGGCAGTCTGTTAGAAAGAGAGAGAAAGACAGACATAAGTGTTTTCATTTATAACTTTAGGAGGATTCTGGTTTATTTATGTAATACCTTTACCATATTGTATGTTACCCCTTTAATGTTAATGACGGTGATAAAGACTTGGTGTAATTCCATATTAATTATTTTTCACTCAGTAGATCATTGAAATTCTATTAAACATGTGAATTGAGAACTTTTACATTTTACAAGTACTTTTACAAGTACATACGTAGAAAATGAAATACTGTCAAAATTTAAAAAAAAAAATGATCAAAATTTTATAAAATTATTGAAATTATTAAAGTATTGTCGTGAACACAGTCATGGATTGCGTAATGAATGTAATTACATTTGAGTGCTACTGCATTAAAGCAAGGAAAAAAAAAAGCTAATCATTTCAAAAATGTCTTAGGTTAAGTTTTAGGTCAACCTTCTACATAGCTTTTTTTAAAATCTTATCAACATCTACTGACATTTTAGTACTGCATCTATGTCAGGTCTATAAAATACAGTTTAAGACGAGCATTACATTGCATTTTTACTCAGTTCCTCCACCCGTGTAGTTACCCCCCATCACCCTATTACTCAGCGGCCCCAGCCAGAGAGGGTGACTGCTTCCTCCTCTCAGATTCCTGACTGCAGAGAGCCGAGGTGCTTTTAGGATTCAAGCTGATGATTAACGCCACTCTAAAGCCAGAAAACTACTGAAAAGTTTATCAAAAATACAAGTTTTTACACTGTTTTTTAAAAACTTGCAGTCCCTGAGTGGCATAACTCTCTGCCTAATTACCAAAATATTGTGAGTTTTAATCCTGTTGATGGCCTTACGTTGAGAGGAAAAAGCCATCACCCTCACAGGCTACAACACCCCCCTCCCATCACGCAACACTCCCAGCCTGTGGGTGGGAATTAAGAATAATTAAATTGGGGGGAGAAGCAATTTCAGCTTTAAAGGTGGTAACCACGTTTTTTTTTTTTTTTTAATAAACTCAACATAATCTTTAGACTTTCTCAATTAGATTAAGAAAACTAATGCACAGAGTTGACTTAAAATTTCAAGTTGGTACATTGTACATATAGTAGTATTTAGCCTCAATAATAAATACTTCAGTCAAAAACCCCATCAAAGATAGCCTTACAAGCACATGTCTGTGTGTGTGTGTGTGTGTGTGTGTGTGTATGTGTGTGTATGACCTGCAGGAAGACTGCCATTTCAGGTTCCTCCATTGTTTGGATTCCTGTCTCCACCAGTTTAGTACTTTTGTCCAGGTGGTCTGTGTACCTGCACAGGTAAATACACTGAATTGGTCTACTGTGTGGTGTTACATTCTGTGTGTGTGTGTGTGTGTGTGTATGTATGTGTGTGATCAAGAGAGATAGCTCACTGTACAAAAATTATGAAACCTCAGCCACTTGTACAATTGATCAGTAATCTTATATTCTCATTATATTTCTAATAGGAAGCCTTGATCTTCCACATAGATTGGTTAATTAGGGGTAAAGCAAAACAGCTCCCAAAATATTGCTCCATGTTATGTATTTGGAAGCAGGCACATTTTGAGGAAACAATGCTTAATTTATCCATAAAAGTGTGTGTGGTGTGTGTGTGTATGTGTACCTGCGCTGTAGTCCCTTTATGTAGTCAAGTTTCTCTTGCTGTTCAGAGCTGATTTTCAGAGTTAGCTCTCCTTTTCTCTCCTCCAATAGTGCATATAGGTGATCAAACGACTCACACACATGGGACTTCTGCCTTCGCCCATTCTCCTACATACAAACACACATAGGTGTGTATACAGAGTGAGTTGCCATTTTATTAGGTACATCTTATGCCTACACTCATTGATCATTTTATCACGTACATCTACCATGTAGATGCACTTTGTATGCCTCATTCTCTCACTCTCATTCTTCTCTTTCTCTCTTTCTTTGTACAATTTATCATCTCTTTTTATCTTAACCATCAGCAGGAAGAGACCACCACAGGACCACTGTTGACCAGACTTAATGATGTCTGGGAACTTAAATATACATGTCTGTAATTTTGAGTTCATTTTTATTCAATAGAACCATGTGCGTTGATTTGTATTAAAACCTGCAAGTATTACAGTATTAATCATGTTCCATAGTTAATGATACGATGGAAAAAATGGTAATAATAAACTACTAGAATTCTTTAGGGATGCTTGCAGGAGTTAGCGTTATTGTTGATGTGGGTGTTTTGATAGAGTTTTGACATTTATGTCCCAAATTGAAGGCTTAGCTGTAATTTCATGGTTCGCTACTAGAAGGGATACAGTGTGATATTCTACAGACATTAATTGTATACCTTCAAAGTACACCTATATGTTAGGTACTAGCAGACAAACATATATTCCTCTGAAGTGGAATCTTTCTGTTTGACCAGAATAAAAATCTGAACACACAAGCCCTTCACAGATACCCCTGTTCAACACACCTTATAGAGCTTATGTTAATTTACTACTACACTTTAACACATTTGACACAGTTTCTGTGTTATACATACCCAAATCTAAAAATGTTGGGAGAGTAGGGAAAATGCAAATAAAAACAGAAAGCAGTTTCTAAACTGTCTTTTACAGTGTTCAATTAAACTGCAGTGCAAAACATTACACACCTCTGCAGAGATTAGTATTTTCAATACGTGACTCTTGTAACATTCACAAAGACTTTGCTAATTAATCGATTAATTGAATCAAGTGTGTTTAATGAGGTAGAACACTCAAGTCTCCAGTGAGTGGCCCACCAGGACTGGGGCATGGTACATGTGATGCAACATAAACTGCCTGAATAAAATTTGACAAGGGACTCCAAATATACCACTTTACTGTATGCTCAAGCCATAAAGATGGAAATGACTGCTTTCTGTTTTGTATGTACAGCTTTTTAAACTTTATATAAATGCATGACACACAAACCTCCACAGTTCTGCAGCTTTCCTCCAGCAGGGTTATGATAGCTTGAATTCTGTCATTGTTTCCTACTAGCATTGCAACACTTTCTGACATCTCTAACTGCACACAGACATAACCACACAGAAAAGACAAAAAGACAAAACAGCAAAAACTGTAAAGGGAAGGAGTGAAGGAGTATAGAATGGAACTGTAAAGTAATAGTGTGAGTGGAAGAGCATATGGAAGAACTGGAGAGCTAGTGGCGTATTACCTTCTGACTCTCGTAGACATTATTGAGTGGAGCGACTTCACAGTTCTGATGAGCTCCAAACACTTTGCACAGAGAGCAGGTGGGAGCGGAACAAGTAACACAGTAAATATTAATCTTCTCATCTTCATGTACCTCGCACATCAACACACCTGGCTTCTGCTCTGGTTCCACCTTACTGCTGGTGCTGAGAGAGAGAAAGAGAGAGAGAGAGAGAAGAGAGAGAGAGAGAGAGAGAGAGGGAGAGAGAGAGAGAGAGAGAGAGAGAGAGAGAGAAATAAGTTTAGAGGTGCATCATATTATCATATTTAAAATATCACCACAATCTGCACCTTCAAAAACCAAAAAGGCTCCTAAATGGTTCATTCTCAGTTCTAGGAAAAATCTTTAACTGGTACAGAACATTAAGTAGAGGTTCGTTAAAATTAAAAAAAAAAAGTTTGAGTCACATAAATCCTTTACAAAAATGATTCTTTGAAGAGAAAAGTTCTGAAAAATTCTGAAAAGTCTTTATGGAACCAAAATTTTTCTTCCAAAAATCCCCATTAATTTCTTATCTTTTATGATAATTATCATGCATTTTGGGAGCACAGGAAAATTTTAGATTTTTTTTGTATAGTGTTATTTTAAGATGAATCTCTTGATTCTGATATTACTAACAGGAGCTGAACAGTGTTCGGAGGAGTGCTCTCTGGCTAAATGTATCTGGCACAAGCCATCTAGCTGGGTGGAGCTGATAGAAACTGTGTTGTGTTTGTGGTCAGTACCTGATGGTCTCCTGTTTGTACATGTCAATGATGTTCTCTACCAGCAAGTTTCGTTGCAGTCCATACACACCATGCCGGTCTAGAACTACTTCGTGCCTGCAGGATGGGCAGCGGAACCGGCCACCAGAACCTACTGTAGAACCCCCACGCGTCGGCAGATAGGGATTAGAGGCCTGCAAAATGCATACACACATTACCCACACATTAAATATAGATTCATAAATGCTGCTTGTGTAATTGTTCTAATCTCTCTTTTTTTACTGATGTTCCTACTTAGAGCCATGTTAAAGGTAATTTATACTGGTGTTTAAAGTATCATTTTGCCTTCAGCTTTATGAACAATGTTCACAAGCCATATTATAAGGCACAGTTATCTTGTAGCTATACTCACTTATCAGGTTACTACTTATGATATAAGTACATTGGGTAGCTCTGCAATTACACACTGTAGTCCATCTGTTTTTCTGTGCAATCTGTTAGCCTTTCTTTACTTTGTTGATTAATATTCAGGACCACCACAAGACCACAACTGAACAGGTAACATTTGGGTGTTGGATCATTCTCAGCACTGCAGTGACACCAACTTGGTGGTTGCGCTATAGGATTGCGCTATGGTGACGTGGTGTGTTGCACTGGTATGATTTGAACAGACACAGCAGTGCTGCTGGAGTTTTTAAACACTGTGTCCACTCTATTAGACACACCTACTTTGTTAATCCACTTTGTAGATCAAAGACAAAGACAACAGCTGATCTGCACAGTTTGAGTTAGTCACCCTCTAATCCTTTATCAGTGGTCATTTTCTGGACACAGAGTGCTGGATATTTTTGGTTGGTGGACTATTCTCAGACCAGCATTGACACAGAGTTGTTTAAAAACTCCAGCAACACTGCTGTGTGTGATCCACAGCCACTAACAAACCTCCACCATATCAGTGTCACTGCAGTACTGAGAATGATCCACCACCCAAATAATACCTGCTCAGTGGTGGTCCTGTGGTGGTCCTAAAAGGGGTTAAAGGGGAGTTAACAAAGCAGAGAAATAGATAGAATACATTCTGTAATTGTAGAATTGCAAAGTCCAACTATATGGAAAGCAGACCTGAAAAAATGAACAGTGAGTATAGACACAAATTAGGTGCACCTAATATAGTGGTTAAACATAACCAATGAAAAGAAAAAGTTTCCAAATGTTTATTTTAGAACACTAAAGGCAGTGTACTGATCCTGAACATGAGTGGTTGCTGAGTGTTTGGATTAAAGTACTACTTAAAACATATAACACACTTCATAATGACGTAGAGCAGGTGAATACTGCTCTGATAACACAGATACTTAATAGAAGCTTAGAAGATTTACGTCTGTACTATTGGTGAGCACAAAGAGAATTGTGATTCAGAAGAACAGAAGAACAGATCAGTCCATTTCTTTAAAGCTTCTTTTCCCATCAAGGATGTGGCAAAAACACTATTTAGTGCACAAGAGCCTAAAGAGATGTCTGTTTGGTAAGGCTGTGTGTTGTCCAACATAGATTTCTGTAATGATTTCTTTGTAGCAGAAGGAACAAAGTGTGTGTAGTGCTTTTATGTTTTCAGGGAGTGCTTTTTCAGAGCTTTCAGCTCGTTGTACCAGCAGAGTAGCTGAGACAACGACACTGCTTAAAGCCCCAATCAATATACACTGCGCTTACTCAGCCATCCCAGTCTGATACTACATATCAGGGGTCATCTTTTCCGCAAAGCGCTGGTGGCGGCAGGTTTTTTTTTCCAACCAAGCAGGAACACACCTTATATAACTTTATGAAGACTGAGACCAACTGATCAAACACCTGGAATCTTTCTGTTTGACCAGAATGAAAATCTGAACACACAAGCCCTTCACAGAGACCCCTGTTCTACACACCTTATACAGCTTATGTTAATTTAATACTACACTTTAACACATTTGACACAGTTTCTGTGTTATACAAACCCAATTCTAAAAAGATTGGGACAGTAGGGAAAATGCAAATAAAAACAGAAAGCAGTTTCTAAACTGTCTTTTACAGATATTTAATTGAAAGGTAAAATATATTTGTGCTGTTATCACCTTTATTGATTTTTATCAATATATGTTAACTCCAAATTTAATGGCTGTAACACATTGCAGGAAAGTTGGGACAGGGACAAAGTAAGATTGTCAAGTTTCTGGAATGATCAAAAGCACCTATCCCTGTTACCAGTTAATAGTTTAACACAGGGGTGTCCAATCTTATCCACAAAGGTCCGGAGTGGGTGCAGGTTTCCATTCCAGACAAGAAGAGCACACCTGATTTCACTCATTTAATGAGTCAGTCTCAGTTTTTAAACAACTGATCAGGAGTGCTCCCACTTTGCTGCAATGAAAACCTGCAGCCACACCGGCCCCTAAGATTGGACACCCTTGGGTTAACAGGTAATGCTATTATGATTGGGTAGAAACTGAGAATATATGAAAGCTGGGACTTTGTTAAAAAATGTGTGAGCAAGTAGTCCAACAGTTTAAGAACAGTGTATCTCAATGCACAATTGCAAGGAATTTAGGGATTTTACCATCTACAGTCCATAATGCACTCAGTTGCATCTCACCGCATCTACAAATTCAAGTTAAAACTCTACTATGCAAAGAAGAAGCTATGTATTAGCGACATCCAGAAACACTGAGTTCTCTGAGCTGAAGCTCATTTGAGATGGACTGACGCAAGGTGAAAATGTGTGCTGTGGTCTGACGAGTCCACCTTTCAAATTCTTTTTGGAAATAATGGATGTTGTGTTCTCCGGTGTTAGTGCCAAAGGCATGGATGACTTGCACATCTATGAATGCACCATTGATGCTGAGGGGTACAAACGCATTTTGGATTATAACATGCTACCTATCTAGGCAATGTGTTTTTCCCATTTTTTCTATATGTAACACTTGAGCTGCTAACAGTCTTTGATGTTGCATATTGCACTGCATAATGTGACCCACATTTTCAATGACAGGTCTGGACTGCAAGCAGGCCTGCACTCTCTTACTACGAAGCCATGCTGTTGTAACAAACACGTCCATTATTTCCAAAAACAATTTGAAAGATGAACTTGTCAGACCACAGCACACGCTTCCATGTTGCATTAGTCCATCTCAAATGAGCTTTAGCCTAGAGACATCGGTGGCTTCCGCTTTGTGTAGCAGAGTCTTAACTTGCATTTGCCAATCCAGCCACACATTAACTGAAAAAGGGTTTTCCAAGTGTTCCTGAGCCCATGCGGTTACAATCATTACAGTAGCATGTTGTTTTTGTAAGGCAGTAATGTCTGAGAAATCAAAAGTTACAGGCATTCAATATTGATTTTTATCCTTGCCCTTTACACACAGATTTATCCAGATTCTCAAGATTTAATACTGTACATGATGAATCCCTAAATTCCTTGCAATCGTGCAACAAGAAACGTGGTCTTATACTGAGGAACACAGTTTTTCGCAAAGTGGTGACTGAGTCTTTCATGAATGCTCCTTTTGTACCAAATCATCATAGCATCACTTTTTACCTCTTTGCCTGTTTACGTGTGGAATATTCCAAAACAGTTGTTTTTGATCATTCCACAAATTTCCCTGTCTTATCTTGCCTTTGTCTCAATTTCGTGGAATGTCTTGCAGGTGTCTAATTTGAAATTAGTGTATATTTACAAAAATCAATAAAAGTTGGTAAAGTAAAATGTTGAATAACTCTTCTTTGTGTTGTTTTCAATTTAATACCTGTAAAAGACTGTTTACAAATCACTGCTCTCTATTTTTCTTTGCATTATACCCACTTTCCAAACTTTTTTGGAAATGGGCTTGCACATCTTACTTAACTACCATGGCTCTAGCACACCTGATTCAGTTCCTGAGGAGTTTGATAACCTGAAACAGGAAAACACTGAGTTGGAATGCCCCCAGACAAGGACACAAGGAAAACACTGTTTAAATGAATGCACTGTTATTGCTGAAAGGCACCTGTTGATTTTGCACAAAAACTGACTTAAGCAATGTTGTGATACTTTCTGGAGGAGGTGCATAAACAGTTTATGAAATCTTTAATTTTCAAAATAATCTTTCCCCTCATGGCACAGTTTCTTTATTTAGTTCACCAGGTAAAAATATTTTCAGCAAGCACAGCCTTAGGTAGCTACACAGTTAAAAATGATTTGGTGTTTTAACTTGTAAAAGAGCAAGTAACCTGGTTGCCTAACAAATTGTAAAATAGATTCTGTTAACTTACTGTTTGAGGTTAAATGTTCAGTGAACTCAAATTGTGAAGACAGTCATGCAATATGTCCTCAGATTAAAATGGAAACCTCGGAGCAGGGTCTGAGATGAAGCTCGTATTTAGTCATTGGGTCAGTAGCTCACGACCAAGTACTAATTCAAGCCGTACAGTCGTATAGCTACCATCAATTAGGGAGAGAGCTGTCGCCGGTGTGACGTCATCACCGCTTGTCACACTATAGCCTGTGTGCTGGTGTAAAACCAGCAACATCAGTGACCTGCAAAATCATTCAACACAGTGAAAGACGAAAAGGTTCGTTATAGGGTACCTGAAATATGTCGTTGGCACATTTCCGGCAGAGATTGTGCTGGCACGGTAAGATCACCACCGGCTTGGTGAACATCTCGAGGCAGATTGGACAGATCAACTGCTTCTCCAGGCTGTCCATGGTTTCTTCCTTTTTTGAGGCCGAGCGCTCCAAAGACACACTCTTCGCACGGTAAGCCGCGCGGAGACACACAAACGCGTTCTGGCTGTTTTTTGGTTTCACCTGTAACTTGTCGTTGTCGGCGACAACGGACTAGTTTCTGACAAAGAAATAAAACTGTGTGAAGAATGCCGATGCCTGTGGCGCCCCAGCACTGAAGCCTTTCCTCTTGGAGCGTGCGCGGCCCGAGTGGGGTCTGTTTTTAGCACGCGCACGTCAAGGCTGTCATGAGTACGTGACCATATATGAAAATGTCAATGACATCTGTTAGACCCGGAGCGTGATCTACTGCCTCGACCTGTGCGAACCTCTCTGGAGCCAGGCCTAGGTGGAACAAACGAGCTTATCGAAAACTATAAGGAAAAACCTCCATGCTGTGCGCTTGGAGTTTCTGTAGGCCATAAATCTCCGTGAAGTGTGATGCTATGCAGGAACGGCATAAAGGACAAAACTAAACAGTTAGGAACCCATGTAGAGTAGAAGGCCACTGCGTTTATCAGAGGAGGACACCGTTTAAATGAATAGCCTACATTGTTATTGTTGAAAGGCATCTGTCGATTTAGCACAAAAACTGACCTGATTAATGTTGTGAGATAACTTTGTATAGGAGGGGTGTGAGCAATCTTTCATTTTAAAAAATAATCTTTCACATCACACCACAGTTTCTTCATTCAGTTCACTGGGTAAATGTAAGTACGGCCATAGATAGCTACAAGTTTATTAACGAGTTGGTATTTTAGCTTAAAAGAGTAAGTAATCTGGCTGCCTTGTGTTTCATTTAATTGAAGTTCACCTATATATATATATATATATATATATATATATATATATATATATATATATATATATATATATATATAAATATAAATATGTAGCCCTGCGATGGACTGGCGACCCGTCCAGGGTGTATCCTGCCTTCCGCCCAATGACAGCTGGGATAGGCTCCAGCACCCCACCGCGACCCAGAAGGATAAGCGGTTTAGATTATGTATGTATGTATATTCTGTTGATTTGCTACTAGAAGTTGAACTTTTAAATTAAAGCAGTACATCAGTTTTACCTGAGTATGTACTCAGATTAAAATGGAAAATTCTGAGTAGGGTCGAAATTGAAGTTCGTGTTTAGTTCTTACGTCACTAGCTCATGACCTAGTGCTAGTTTAAGCCTTTGCAGCAGCACAGTCGTATAAATATGCATGAAGTGTGATGCTATGCAGGAAAGACTTAAAGGACAAAACTAAACCGTTAGTAGCTCCTATAAAGTAGAGGCCACTAAGTTTATCACGAGCCCCAAATAGCTCGAAGCCCGAAGAGTAGTTTCCTCGAATAAATTTAACACTTACGAACTATTACCTCCATATATACAATCACATTGACACAAGTTTCGTACGCCTTGTTTTTATTGTGAATTAAAAGTCTTTAAGCGGAGTCTGAAACTGTATAACAATTCCGCCCACTGGGCGTCAGTGCCGAAGCAGTAGTCACGCTCTACACACTGACCCACTTTCTCTGTAGACTAGCGCTGCCCAGCTCAGACACTAGAGGCCGCTGTAATCCTTTAATTCAGGGGTGTCCAATCTTATCTTGAACGGGCCAGTGTGGGTGCAGGTTTACGTTCCAGGCAAGAAGAGCACACCGGATTTCACTCGTTTAATCAGTCAGTCTCATTCTTTATCAGGTGTGCTCCTGCTTTGTTGCAATGAAAACCTGCAGCCACACAATTATTACATAATCACCTATTCACAATTATTCGAGATTATCACAATTATTTAAGCTGACTGCAATCATTTTTCACAGTCATTAGGTTTCTGTCATGTTCTGCTGTAACAAACAAAACTGAGGCAAATAAATGAAAAAAAAAGCAGTTCATGCATTCATTGAGACGTCATGGGACTCATAAAAGAAAAACAGTCTAATGTCTAACTGGGTACTCCAGAATGTTTGGAGGGCAGTGCTGAGTAATGTTTGTTGATTTCTTTGCTATGTAGTCTAATGTTTTTACCGTGTATTCTTACACAATGAGTGTTTTTTGCTTGTATTTTCACTCTAATGAAAAGTTGAGCAAACTAGAGTTAGCTTTGCTTAGCTTTGCTTAACTCTACACCTTATTCTTGTAAATGTAGATATTTATGTGAGTGTGCAACCAGTGTTAGCTAGTAAATAAATAGCTAGCAAGGTGGCTTATCAGCCAATTTAGGCTTGTATTTTAATAGTTTCACACATTGAACAGAAAGAACAATAAATTATTTATATAACAATTAATCATCAGCTAAAAATTCATGATTGTGACAGCCCTAAATGCAAATCTGCTACAGCTGTGGATGTAACCGTGCTGTCTGTGAACCAGAACAACCGTGGCAGCTTAATTTTCTTTTTTAAATAAGCTGCTGTATCCCAGTGTGTACTTTCCATTCCAGACACCCGATGCTCCACAGCGAAATTTGAGAGCAACAAATAATCAATGAAAAGATAGGAGCATGTAGATGGATGGATGAATCGATTGATGACTGGAAACAGCCTGGGGGAGACACGCTGTCAGTTAGATGCTGTGTAAAGATTATGTCATTAATGACTTTATGACTTTGGAATTGTGTGTGTTTGTGTTCTAACATAAATGTTGCCATTGGGGGATTCTTGCCTCAGAAGAACAGGTTTGGAGTACTGACATTAGCAAATAATTGTCCTTCTCCTTTTCAGACAATATTATAGGACACCAATGAAAAGCAAATAAATTAGCCATGTGCACAAGTAATGGTGTTAGTCTCTTCCCCTTCACTATTCTAATGAAACGCCTCAGCTGAAACTGTTGAAACCAACAATCATGTCCTAGAATGATAAATATGAACCTGTGATAGTTTTATCTTGCAAATGTCTTACAAAAACCAGACTGACTGGTTTCTGTTGAAAGATGGTGTGGCTATAGTAGTGCACATGCCAGGCCCACGTGCATGCATCTGGCTCTACTAAACCTAGAGTTTAGTTACCTATGGCCAACTGCTAAAATAGAGGAAGTGCTTGGACAAACAGATATATGTTGCTCTTTATCAAAGCAGATGTTTCAACACTAGTTTGGAGTTTCAGTTAGCTATGTGAGTACTGTTTGCATCTAAACAAGTACATCTAATGTTGTATCATTTCTGTTTTCATGGGAGTAATCACATCCAGAATAGCAAGGTCCCCTCTGCTTTGTTCATAATGACAGACTATATGATATTGTTCTCTCAGAAACCAAATTTAACCATAGCAGAAGATAATACAAAGGGTCCAGAGTGGCTATTGTAACCATCGTCGACAAAACACTATATGATGAAGGTCCTATTGCCATAGATTCTACTAGTCTAAGTGATGGAAAGCTGTCTCACTGATCAACGTGGGTTATTCTGTGGACACTTTGTCTTCAGCCAACTCTGTAACTGAATGAGATGGAGCATTTAGCTTGCTCAGCAACCACACCTGTTTTGAAGTATCTGCTTTTGTAAGATTTGTATCCATTATTTTGGAAGTTACCTGTAGCTTATCTGATTACAACCCCTACTCCACCCAAAAAAAACCTTACAAACCTGAGCTGAAGTGTGCAAGAAACCCGCACAGGTCAAAGGTGATTCACCTCACCCAGAAAACAAAATCTCAATGATTATATCATCACAATGCACATAAATCAGATTCACTTCGTTTGAATGAAAATGAAACCTATTACCATGTTAAATTGCTTTTTGAACAAAGAACAATGCACAGTAGGCAATCAGAAAGTGCTTGTTTATATCTGTCAATCTTAAAGGTTAACAGCCTGTTAATTCTAAGGAATATAGAGTTGAAAATGATTATGTTGAGATTAAGACTTTTTGTACATAAAACCACTCAAATGTCAGTTGACCACAGGAGAAAAAAATTAAATACAAAAACAAAGTAGGATATGGGCCCCTTAAGAGACGCAAGACTTAAAGGGCCAACCCATCCTCCTTTGAGCAGCACTGAATAGTGAAATTATATTATGAGAATAAAGATCTAATTAGATCATACAGAAGAAATGTTTGTGTCTAGGAAAGGTCTGAGAGGTGACCAATGTTAAAGAGGAATTTCACTGATTTCCCCAGTTTCTGCATAATTCAATATTTAAGATGTGAACAAAGTCATTCTAGAGAAGCTTAATGAGTCTATATTTTTTTACAGTGGTGGTGAAAAGAACCACACATCTGAAGTGCTTAATGCCCCTATAACTACCTTACAGAAAGTTATTACATTAAATATACTGCTTGATGTCTGAGACATTGTTTAATAGTAGATTTGTGATTATGTTTTGGCCTAAAACCAAAATATTTTTATTTCTTTTAAATGGTTTTTTAAATACATTTATAGGTGAGAGGTACATGTTCAGGATTGTAAAGAAAAATAGTCCCCAAAGACAACTTAATTTTTCAGATTCACCACTATTTTACCATTATCAACATTTACACATAAAACTGAAAAGACACATGTATGGTTCACTGGTTATTTGGGATAGCAAAGAAAATATTTTATTTGCATTGTAGACATTGCAATCCCTAGTTCCTATGACCACTTTTATAAAGTGTCAGTAAGTTTCTGTACAATGCACCATTTCATATGAAAACACTCTACACAGCTGTTTGTATATAAATGACTGAATTATGGATACTATATTTTTACTCCTTTAAAAGTCTATTAGGTCTAGACTACTCATTATGTTGGATACAAGATGTTATAGACATAAGAAAATGATTGGTAGAAGTTTTGTATGTGTAGGCAGGACACACCCTGGACAGGTCGTCAGTCCATCGCTGTACACCCCACTATTTTCAGCTAACTCCGCCCCTGGCTCAACTTTGAAAAATGCTCAAAAAGGGGAGGGGCACGTTGGCGCAGAGGAGGGGCATTGCAGTGATCTACAGGTCTGGAGGTGCGCCTGTGAGGGAAACCGGGCAGTCTGGGCTGCTGTGTTTTTATAGCTAACCTTAGGTACCAGAAAACATGGAGAGTGACAGAATCAAACAGCACATTTGCAACTCCGAGTTCTTACAAGGTTGACCATTTTTCTCCACTACCATCGCCATCTTCAACAAGGGAAGGTGTTTCTGATCAGACACTGTTCCTTGAGCCTTACCAGTATGAGCTACTGACTCAAGCCGCCAAAAGAGGGAGCTTGCAAGAATCCTCACTTAATCGGTCCGTCATGTTAATCATACGCTGAATATAAGGTTCGTTAAGCCTAAAAACTACAATATCTACAAATAGAATAACTAAAAATTACCAATAATAACTAACTAGAACACTAAATAACACGCTAAATGCAGTGAGACGATATGTATGAAAAAACAACCAAAACGGCGCCGATGTTCTTCCTCGCTCTAGGCTCATATGGTTTCATGTTTATAAACGCGGCACGAGCAGAGCCAGCTCGCTACACGGCTCTGGGCACGGGTAGGGCGTCTTCAGGGGGCGGTAACATTGGTTGACTGATTTGCATACTGTGACTTCATCCGAGTTGAACCAGAGAGGCGCTGCAGAGGTGGAACTGACCATGATAAAAATGTTATTTTTACTGTTTGGAAAGATGTGTTCACATTTTAACCAAGGCTTGTGTACATTTTTATTACAGAACAATGCATTTCAGCTGTTATTGAAAAAAAGGTCTTAGTTACTCTTTAATGTTTAAAAAATTCTCAGATTAATGTGTGAATTATAAATGCGTAATGTTTTCACTGAAAAAACTAGCATGAAATTATTTACCACAGGTTTAGCATTTTGTTATATAGTTATATAGTATATATAGCAAAGCGGAAATGATATATAGAAATGCATTATATCATTCACATGAGCATACAGTAGTAAAGTAGCCCCAGGCAAATTATAATATTACATGCAATGTATTCTTTATCAGGTCTTCAGATGGAAAAAATACAACTGTTATTGCATTGCTAATGCAGTAACAGTTTCCAAAAGCAAATTAGCTGTCTTGTTCTTTGCCTCATGGAACCCTCTGAAATAGGCTTGTATTGCATAATAGTATTGCATAATTGCCTGATCACAATTATTTGAGATGACTGCGATTATTGAAGCAATCATCTTCCACAGTCATTATATTTCATAGTCATACTGTGCAATAACATACAAAAGGTGAATTGGGTGCATCATGTTAATAAATGCAAATAAAAATACTTTTAAATAAAAGAAAACAAAGTATTCATTGAGACACATGTGAAGAAAAAAGTTCTAACTTCTGGTGCTCTAACATGTTTAGAGGGCATTGCTGAGTAATCTTAGTTATAGTTGTAGCTAATTCAACTACATTTTAGTATGGCAGAATTTGTGTTTTATATATATATATAATATATATATATATATATATATATATATATATATATATATATATGTATGTACTCTGTAACTGTTTGTCCACAGCTGAGGGCTTTGTGTACTTTGCAAGGGCTGTGCTTTCCATAATTGTAGGTACTGACAAAGACACTTAACAATCAGCTGTGACCAAATGTAATAAACTGAATAATTATGTCTCACTAAAGACGTTGAAAAAGCAAGAGGCTAATAACAATATTTTATTAAGCTTAGTAATTATGTTTTGTCATGAACTTGTCACACATTATACTATTCATGGTTGGAATAATCTTAATGAATGAATTCTAGATCTAGAAGTAGCACATTTTCAGCGAGAATATCTGCTCGCTTACGGACGTTTTCTTTCATTCTTTATTTCTTTCGTTCTTGTATTTTTTGTAACAAATTTCGTCTCTTTGTAAGCAGCAGGCCTATAAGTGCCCCGGATAGGGAGGGCAGCCCCCTGTTCACTCAGGATTCCTCTTTATTGCTTTATCATTCCATCGCGGAGCTGCCTCGCACACGTCTCTGACCAATGAGCGTCTTCTTCCAGAGAAAAGCTCCTGCTGTCGTCCAATCAGAGGAGGCGGTATATTGCCGGGTCGAAATAATAGGACGAGAGCGACTCTGGAGCTTTACGTTGCCAGATCCCACCTCTGCCAGTGGTTTTGTTTCGAAGGAGGTCAGGGAAAATGTGTCCCGTACCGAACAGCCCGTCGTATCCCTGGCTCGCATTTGTTCCGCACATCACGCAAATCTTGCAGTCGTTTCAGGAGTGATTGTTTTAACAGCCACAATAGAAAATGTCTTTTGTTTTGAGCCGGGGAGCTCGCAGCCTGCTCTCTCACTCTCACACGAGTATGCTGAGTGAATCCGGAGCGCTGCGGCCGCCTGCAGCGCGAGGACTCTGTTCGCGTTGCTAACTTGCCACTTTCGTCTGTACAGCTGCGGATCGGACGGGACGGACTCGCCTACACGCGACCCAGTTAGCTGTACCCGGACACATCGTCGTCTTCCTGGTCGACTTTTCATTTTTCTCGTTCACGCTCGAGAGGCCTCCGGGAGTTGTTTGATGTTGGAATGTCCCACCAAGCTTCGACTCGATCGGACGAGATACTGCTTTAACAAGAGGAAGCAAACGGACTGAGTGATGTTTTTTGGTGCGCGGCCTGTTTTTTTCGGAGCTCTCGCTTAGAAACTTAACGACTGAAATATGGGACAGAGGGAAGCACGGAGCGGGTGGACCAGACTGTCTGACCAGTCGACGTTTCGTTTAAGTACGAAGTCAGGGGAAACAGCGCGAGAGATGATGTCCTAATCTTTGTGCTACGACCACCCCTAAAAATTAGATGGATTCGAAGCCCGTTTCAGTTTCCTGTGTTGACTGTTGTTTGCTCTGATTTGACATTGGCTTGTTCGCCGCATCTTCTGAGTCTTCAATGGAAGTATGTTACCAGTTGCCGGTGCTGCCGCTGGACCGGCCGGTACCGAAGCACGTCCTCGGCCGGCGTGGCGCGATCTGCCTCACCTCCAGCCCGGTCCTGTTCGGTGGGCCGGCTCCCCGTCAGCTCTCAAAGGTACGTGAGCTCGAGCGGGACCCCCGTGCCAGGCGGCGCGAGGGCCCGCAAGCCAGAGAAGTTTAAAGACACAGCGCGGGTCGAGCGGGCCTCCCCATCCAAAGACCCCACTGGGCTTCCTCGTGCAGTAGTTTTGACAAATTCACAGCAAGCATGTTGTTCTTTTATTATTAATCTCAAGATTTATTATTCAGTAATTTCTCTAAATGGTGCGGTGCAGTTATGAGAGTGAGTCACTGGAGTGTGGCCCACATATGGGACCTTGCAGTTTAAAGGGGTTAAACAGTTTTCCACTTTTTCTTTGGGGGAATATACTGTGGTTTTGAGCCCAGAATAAGTTCTGCTCTTACATACCTGAAAAGGCTACTAAGTTATTACATGCTGAGTATGCAGATGCCCATTAGTCTGTTACTAGATACTAGAGTGGAGTCAGCCTCTACAGTGTGAACACAAGTGTCCTGTGTAGTGTTCCTCTGTCTACAAAGCAGGAAGGCCTTCATTGTGAGCGATGAGTTGTATCAGATGTGTTTTAAAGTGAGCAGTTCACTAAGTTGTGCGACATTGTGGCCACAGAAGCTGATATGTGATCAATGTTAAAGTATTTAACGGTGGCATAAAACAATAGGTCATGTGCAGTATATGAGGACAGAACAGAAAGCTGCTTCAACAGTCCATTACAACAATCACCTAGGAGCTGTGTACACATACATAGATAGGCTATGTACGCACACATGCACACACATGGATTGATGTACGAGCGTTGAGGGGAAGTAAAAAGCAGGAAGTCCTGACCGTTATTCTCCAAACTTCACAGAATGCCTCAGAAACCATAGTCTTATCAAACTCCTCATTCTTCCTGTGACTGAGCAGGATGAGCTCTCATTTCATGTCTGATATTTAATACTGACACATGGCACAGCCTTGAATAGCAGGCTGAGACATGGCGCAAACATGGCACTGCACTGGACTTCTCGGTTTGTGCAGTTTTGTTGGGTTTTTAATCCGTTTCCACAAGGTAAGCACACACAAACACTCTTATAAATGCACACATACACGAACTCTTGTTATAGAGTAAAGGGACTTTTCAGCTCATATTCAAATATAATGTAAATCAGACAACCCCCTCAGCAGGAAGAGCAAAAAGATAAGTGGAACTATCTCTAAAAGACACACACACCCCACATACAAACTTTAGAACATACTGATACACATGCCGTAACACACACTTCCCTCACACACAAACTGCAACACATTGCATATTGTGGTTAAGATGTAGATCCTATAAATAAATGTCACAGTGTTGTTGCTAAGGTGTAACAATTTGAATACAGCAATGAAAAGTTGGAAATTCAAAATATTGAATGGTTGTTTTGAAATTTAAAACTGTATTGCCAAAACTCCCCTCTTAACTTCTGAAAGCCTCTCGTTTGCTGATTTTCATCAAAATCATTAAACATGAAAAAGTTTAAACAGTAACTTAGTTTCATTTTTGTCAGACATTTACATTTTACATTTACAGCATTTAGCAGATGCTCTTATCCAGAGATTTACAAAAAGGTGCTTTGTCTATCTAGAGAAAGTATCTTTGCTAGTTACCAATAGGTTAGAGAGAAAGCTAGTCCTGAGCTCAGATACTGCTAGAAACAAAAATCCATGCTGATACCTAGAGAAAAGAAACAGAGTTAAACACAGCACAGTGCAATACAATACATTTCAATAAGTGCAGTACAATACATTACAATTAATACTTAACTCAGTGCTCATTTAAGTGCTGTACTAAGCTTAGAGTTTGCCCAATGTTTAATAAAGCAATAAACCACTCAAAGCCGTTCATTACTGCGATTTTATCATGGGGATGGGTGTTCTTAGGCAAGACAAGAAGTGGTGGCCAACATAAAATATGATAAAATATGTAATTGTTTAGAAAATAATTTAATTTATTATTAATAGCAATCTACATAAACAAGTATTTCACCAAGAAATGTATGTTGCCAAGCAACCCTGGACTGCTGAATTAGGAGAAGAATGTTTGATCTCCTATCACTGAATATTGCGATCATGTCATAACTTTTTAACTTTTTGTCATACAGTTGTGAATATATCGTAACATAGCACGGTTTAAGGCAAAAATCTTCATTTATAAGCACTTTTTGGTCACCAAATTACCACCACAAGTTATATAACACCATGCTGGGGCCTATATCTTAAATAACTTCCTGCTCCCTACATAGTGCACTATGTAGGAATTTGAATACTGGCTCCTGCACCACACCAGAGCTTAATATTGCTAAAAATATTTTTTGGGATTCAGCCACATCCATACTTAGCAAATAGTGGACTGTTTGGCTGTAGAAGGTAGAATTTTAAAACTTGCATAGCACACTATTCACAGAATATGGAGCTGTTTGAGATTTGACGCTACCTCTGACAGTAACACGAACATTTGAAGCATGTGGGCCACTCAGGTAACATTCTTCAGACTTTTCAGCATTTTGATCAGTGTTTTTGGGGCCGATACCAAATGCATTTTGGTACAATGGGCTGATAGCCAATATCAATCAAGGACGGGCCAGATGCCACATAGGTGCATTAAGTTCTTTTGGAGACTGCCGCTGAATTCCATTCCACAGGGTCCCTAAAGCAATACTGTTATGTTCCCTACACTCTTGAGTACAGGATTTTGGTTAACGGAACTGCAGTTAATAAATACCTTCATTCGGAACATCCTACAGTGTCATATTCAAACTCGCATCTTCAAGAGACCTGCAATGACTGATGGATAAACTTTCCTGCAGCTTCCTGCGAAGTAAATAACTGTTGTTAACTACTCTCTGTGCAGTTTAAAGTTCGCTTCCACATTGGAACTTTTTCACTCCCTGTGGTTTGGAATCACCCTTAAAATGTCTTAATACCCTTTGCGGTACACTTTGAAGGGAACTACAAGGGCGATTGGAATGCACCTCGATTGGTAATATTCGAATTTAGCAGAAAACAAATACAGCCCTCCCTTCAGTGCTCCTTCAGAAGCTCTGCCCCACAAATTCATGAACGCACATTGCCAAGGCAAACAACACTTTCAGATTTTCAGATTTGCCGTGCAGTGTGAGGGGGCAGCAGTGCCCGATTAACTTCACAAACGAGCTCCGACTGAGCAGTCGGATGACACGTTGTTTTAGAGCACAGTGTGGCACAAATTAGCAAAGACGTTGTAGCACGGTTTATCAGTGGCTGAATCTCAAATGGCCCCCTCCTTCGTATGTAGTACATTATTTAAGTTCTGACTTTTATAACAAAATAGTGCGCTGTTTGTCCAGTATGGAATTGTGCACACATGGCTGAATCTCAAATTGCTATTCATCAGACATATGATTCTGACACTGTTTCTATGAGTGCAGGAGCCATAACCGATCGCTTTTTCCATTTTTACTCAAAACAGTAGTGGAAGCCATTTTGATGATAAGTCGAATCTTTCAACAACCACATACAAGAGGTTGTCCATCATAGAGAGGAAACATTTAATGAGGCAAAGAACCATTTAAGCATTCAAATGATTCTTTGAGTTGTCATGCTTCTTTATGTAACCATTGCCTTTACTAAAGAACCCTTGAAGAACCCCTTATTAAAGGGTATATCTTAGGTTGATAAAGTCACCATTTTGTAGAACATGCTATAAACTTTTGTCTCAAAATAAAAGTATTTTTCTGAACTAAATTCACATTACTAATACACGTTACACATTACTAAGAGCAGTTTGGAAGAGTTGGGATGTCACCCACAATGCTGGACACAGCAAGCTAGAGTGTGGTCATGTGACCCAGCGACTTTGTGATAAGGAAGTGAAAGCTGCCTTTAGTAAAACTAGGGGTTTTAGCATATGAGTGCTGTGGCTAAAACAAGGGCAACTATGTAATTCAGCTCCAAGGATACTGACAATATTCCTCTGTACAAGATGCACAGAATGTCTTTCAGGCAGCCAGGTGGATGGATTTCAGTCTAGCTGACCATAACTCTAAACTCCAATGTTCAGGTAATCATAGCCATTGTGGATCAACCTATTGAACCCAGGGCTATTGTTCAGTTTTTCATTAATTAAGGTTTATCATTCAGTAACTGTAAATTAATTTGTAACTACTATAAAACTAATATGTAAGTAGTTATAAGAGTGAGGAGCTAAGGTGAGGAACCACATTCAGGCCTTTAGTGCTTTAAGAGGTTAAGCTAAGGTAATGTGAAAGTCTATGAATGTCTAGTGTTGTTTAAAAATAACAAAGATCTCACCTATGTTCCCTCTTCCAGAATGGTGTATCAGCTGCTTCCCACATGATGGCTGAGCTGCTACAATTTAGCAGCATCATTGATAAACATCAGGAGTGCTACATTTGTACCAAACAAACGGCTGCACATTCATGTCTTTTTGTATATTTCAGCTTTAGTGCTGAGACAGTCAGTGTCACATAGTTTGTAACTTAAGGAAAGCTTCTATACCTCAGTGCATGACAGCGAATACATGTATTTGTGTTTGTCTTTTGGAAGAAGCAGTGAGAGGACTGTGTGTGATGGTTGAGCGTAGGGCCCAAGGCAAAACACAAGCTCTCTTAGTCTGTGTCTGTGGGTGCTAATGTGTGTGTGTGTGTGTGTGTGTGTGAGAGAGAGTGTGTGAGATCTAGCGCTGATCTGCATTCAGAGCTTATAGGAATGTATAGAAGACAAGAGAGTATAATGGATTCTTACAGCGGGGAACCCTGGGAACCTTCTAGACCTTAAGGCAGGGGTGTCAAACTCAACCACTAAAAGGGCCATATCAAAAAATCTCAACAAATCCGTGGGCCAGAGAATTTAATTTTAATTAACATTTTGCTATAAACTGAACTGACCATTGTTTATTCAAAATTTGCTAAAACATCAGCAGTAAAATATAGGCACCTGTAGTAGACCTTGAAATATTACATGAATACTTAATAATCAATAAATAATAAATAATCAAATTTTAAATGTCCCCAGGTTCTAGGTCTTTTAAACCTACCTATTTGCTTAAACTAGACACCTGGCATCTTTTCTTTGCTGCAAGTTCATTAATACTTGGGCTCAATTTCTGAGCTGTTGAGCTGTTAAGTGTTTATATTGGCTGAACTGCAGTTAGTTGTTTGGTGATACGACTGGTGTGGAACTGTGAAGAGTTGTGTAGAACTGAGGTGTAACCACTGTCCCATAGATCATTGTTGGGGAGGGGCTGGGAGCACACATTATGTTGAAGTGCATGCTAGGGACTGTAGTGCAGCTCATGGTGAAATGGGCTAATAATAATAGAACATTAAAATATATAAAAAATAAAAATATGCATGTCTGTAATTTTTAGTTGATGTTTATGTAATGTAATCATCTTGCTTGTTGTATTTAAACTCTGCAAGTATTATAGTAATATTCTTGTTTCTTTAGTTTTGTTTGGAAACAACAAGGTTAAATTCTTGGAATGACCTACAAAAAAGGATCCATCTACATTTTTTTTTTCTACATGGTACCTAGGTAGATACAGCCAAACAAGCTCTCCCATTGGTTAGTACTTCAGGAGCTGGTCTTAGGAGCTGTTAGAATAACCACCAATGCAATTAGGAACTAATTGTAGTATCAACAAATCTCATATTTATTTACAATGGGTAGAACCAATTCAGTGAGAAAAAAATGTCAGTCTAGGCCTTCTAAAATCCCTTTTACATCACTGAGTGTGAATACGTGGCTAACCAGATTTCAGTCAGTTATTAGAATATGTCTGTTACAGGTTTTAATTAAAACGTAGAATGTAGAACCGCCAAAAAGTGTTAATGTGAATTGCTGTTAGCTTAGCCCTTACATACTACTAGAGTTCTATAAGGCCACTAACAGAAGTTAGCATTATCACACAGGTGCTTTTTTCCTCATTTTTCACGTTTATGACCTGGACTAAAGTCCTAGCTCTAGCTACCCACTGGATTCCTGAGTAACAGTGTCTGTATGTGTGTATTTGGTTACATTTGAATGCTTGGGTGCTACTGGTTTTAGCATTTGCATCATATTTGACAGTGAAAAGGAAAAACAAAAGATGTCTGTGTAACTGACAGTAACACACATACTCATGCACATGGACACATTCAAAGGTCATTGAGACCTACTTCCCTAAATCAGGAGTCTGTTAACACACACACACACACACACACACGCATATATATATATACATCATGATGTGTGTGTGTGTGTGTGTGTGTGTGTGTGTGTGTGTGTGTGTGTGCATATATATAATTATGATATTTGTATTACATTTACATATTTACATTTACATTTAGTAGAAGTCCTTCTTGTCTGCTTAGAAAACCTATGCTTAAGCTAGTGCAAATAGGCTAAAGTCTAAATATACCCTTGAGCTTAGAAACTCAAGTTAGCGCAGAGACTAAATACACAAAAATACAATGCACGTTTCAGGAGGGATTTTTTTGTGTGCATGTGATTTAATATTTTAAATAATACCCATATATAGTTGTACTGAGGGTTTATTGTAAATACTTATTCTGTCTGTTTGGTGAGGTTGTGTTTTTAGGTTGGCAGTGTGTCTTTGCACTTTGACTGTGTGAGTTTTAGTTTATTGTGTGTGGTGGTTTTGTGTGTCTTGGGTGGTGTGTGTGTGTGTGTGTGTGTGTGTGTGTGTGTGTGTGTGTGTGTGTGTGCTGATTATGTATAGTGCTAGCCTGCTATGAAAATAATGAAACAATAGTGCACTTATTTGCCCGTTCGGATTGCCCTTCTGACAGTGTGTGAAAGTGTCTGTGTGTGTCCAAAAAAAATGGTGGTGAGAGTTGGTTCATGTCTCTGTCTGTTTAACCCTGATGCACACATAACTGCCCGTATTAAGGCAGAGAATGAAGTGCTCTTGCATTGCACTAACCGTCTATCACTGTCTTCTGTGTGTGTGTGTGTGTGTAGTAAAACAGTTGTATAAGTATCAGCCATGTATGTGCGTGTGTGTGTTACGATAGCTAGTGGAACAGTACTGTAAGTACTGGCTGTGTCTGTTTGTGTGTTTTGTCTGTGTTTTCTACAAACCTCATTTATGACATCATGTGAAATGTTGACTAAAGCAATTTTTTACATTTTTAATGTTAATGTTGTAAATTGAAAACTGTAAAAACACACAAAATATTTGATGTTTTAACATTATTGTTTGTTTTGTAAATACATGTTTATTCCAAATTTGATGCCTGCAAAACATTACAAAAAAGGTCAAGAGCATGTTTAACACACTGTTACAACATATTCCTCTTAAAAAACACTTAACAGTTGTGGATTTAAGATGGGCAGTTTTGAAAGAGTATTTTTCTTCTTGCCATACTTTTATTACAAGTCTTCAGCTGCACAACTGTACGGGGACAGTATTTTGCGCTTCATAATGAAGCCAGACGTTTTCAGTGGGAGACAAGTCTGGACTGCAGGCAGGCCTGTCTAGCACCCACACTCTCTGATTACGCAGCCATGCTGTTGTTAAGTGCAGAATGCAGCTTGGCATCCCTGGAAAAAGATGATATCTAGAAAGCAGCCTATGTTGCTCTAGAATGTATACATATCTTTCAGCACTAAGGTGGTTACACAGCCACCAATGGCATTGACCAGTGACCAAGGACATGGGACCAGCTTCGAGCAGAGGCTCATAAGTCTGTCAGACAAACACTGCCCTGCACATTTTAGTGCTTTCACTGCCTTAACAGGTTAAATAGTCAGTGGTTGCACAAAAGTGTCTTCTGACATCCCACCCACAACGTTTGGTTGACAGGAGTGCCTCGTTGGCATGAAAGTCCATATGTTGCCATGGTTTAGGTGGTGTCTAAAGTTACTAAAATTGTCATTTCCACTGTTCATAAATTTAGTATTTTAAGTATTCATCACAGCTTTCTTAATATAGATAGGTAAAACTGACTTAACAAACTGATTGGTAAGAGAAAACAAAAGAAAAGAACCTCATGGCCTTTGAGATTCGTTATGAGGTCTAAATTAATTGTAAGGAGTAAAATACATGTTTTGTTTTCTTGGAAATGTAACTGTAAGTAAAAGTACAAGTATTCAATTTGTATAATCCTTAAGTCAAATACAAATCTTTCAAAATAATGCTTTAGTACAGTGACAAAGTACAGTTACTCAGCTGTTTTTATACTCCTGCAGTCCAAATTCTTTTTCACTCAAATTCTTTGGCTTATGCCAAAAAAAAAGCTCACAAACCATGAACTTCCGCCATATTGGATTTCAAGCTCATTTGTATAATATGCAAAACCTACATTTCAGGTGCCACTATCTCAGTGATGTCTCATTTTTTGCTCTTGAGTGCCAATAATTTTGTCAAAGTCTCTTGATTTTCTATGTAGAAAACTAAAGACTAACTTTACTCTGCTTTCCTAAGTTGTAAGTTAAATCAGCAACAGTGGCCCAAGCTCGTTTCTGTCGATTTCAGAAGGTTTGCTCTAACACATGACCAGTAAATCTGCTTGCCAATAAACTTGGCCATGGCTGTATAAATATTATCCAGTGTTGTTTTTTACATGTTGTTTTGTTTGAATCTTTGTGTTCGTTACAGAGGCGAGGAGCAATTTCATACGACAGCTCAGACCAGACAGCACTCTACATCCGCATGCTAGGTATGTCAGCATCTCACCATAAACACACATTAAAAACGCCCACAGTAATCACACATACACACACCATACAAACTCTGTAACTCTACGTTTCCCTTGTAAACCTCCCACACACCATGGAAGAGTAGAACTTAGTTCATAAGCTTAAGTGAAATGACTGCTGGATGGTCAAGAGACTTTTTTCCTTGCAACATTGAACTAAAAAATATAAAGAAGACAGCATGAGTTCTTGGCTAATTTACCACCAAAAGCTTTGGGGAATTTAACAAAGTTCATTGAAAATTTAATAAAGGTTGACCAAGATGACATATGTGAAAATCTAAAAGCTAGCAAATCTAACCTAAAATAGAACATACTCTCATGGTGTCATATCATGTTGTCAGCTTGCATTTCTTCCTGTGGGGTGGTACTTTCATTGATGTCAATTAAATCTTTTTTTATTTTTTTAATTTTAAAGAGTAGTCATTTTAAAAGCAGAATTATTGGGTCTCAGTATAGGAAAAGAAAATAGGTATTTGGTAATCTATACAATTTTTCACTCCTTTCAGATAAAGGCACTGATGTCAGGGGCCTCTCTCTCTGTGTGTGTTTCTTTCTGTGCATGTTCTCAGCCATGTCACACATTGCTGCTTTTCAGCATGGCCACATTTCTAACACACTATAGAACCCTTTGCAATTCAGTTCTACATATTCTAATACATGAGGTGAAATATCAGAAGCTTTACTCTTAAGAATGAAAAAGTATAGGATAACTGATTACATAGCTTTTCTTGAGTTAACTTGAGAGGTTACCTTCAAACTTCATAGAAGTTCTCTTATTTTTTTTTTAGTTCTGCTTCTCAGTTAGGTTAATAATATAGAATTTAAATATATAACTCAGTTTGCCCACTAGCTGGGACTCTTCATCACCCAATCCCATCAGACATTTTCTCTTAGATACTTACAAACACCTGAGGTTACTTAGATTTCATGTCAATTAATGTTTAATACACTGTAGAAAATATTTGTTGTTTTAATTTTGAAATATAGCAACTCAAAAAACTAAACAAAAAAGTCTATGTAATGAGTTACTTTATATTTTTTTTAAACCTGAGCTGATTTCTCATTTTTCACAAAATGATATGATAAATGTGAAATCATTATATGCAAATGCTGTAGTTATAATGTTGCTTGACACTGAACTGAATAAACACAGGTTTCTGTTTAAATCACTGGGCACTGTCCCAAGTCTTAACTTCACCAATTCCCAGTATTCACTACAGGTTCCAGTTCCTTGCTGGGTGGTTGGTCTAAATAGAGGTCCAAGTACTGTAGTTGCTGGAACCCTATTGGAACTGCTCAGATTCTTCTTCTTTCGTGTTTAGAATACAAGTTCCTTAATGTGTTGTATTCTACCGAGCCTGACAATTTTGCGAGTGCAAACCTTTTTAAAACTCTCTTGTTTTCCAGTTCAAGTTTGAAAAATGAATTTTTATATTCTTCCCTGGATTTTTATTGCATCTTCTCAAACGTGGTCTTAAAACCACAGGTGAAGTCTCAAGGTCAATAATTTATAAATATATTTATATTTATATTTATCCTCAATAAGACCTAACACTTCGCAAATTTATTTATTTATTTATTTATTTATTTATTTAATTATTTAAAGCCATTCTTATATTCTGTTTAAAATATATTGTGTCTAAAAGTCATATTGTGTTTATGTTCCTAAACTGCACAGGAAATCCTGTAATTTGATTAATGTCATCTTGATCACAAAATGAGGTGTGATTATTTTGTTTGAACACTAGCAGGAGCTTCAGCAGTAAAGTTGCAAACATCAAGCAAACACGTTTTCTGCATTTATCTTTTGGCAAAGAAGATTTATGAATGTTAGTTGCTCCACACAGCCTGACAATTTTGCAAATATCAGTTGAGTCTCAGTATGGCTTACTACGAAAGCAGCTGCCTTTGAAGACTAAGGTCCTTGGTTTGATTCCACCATTGGGGTAATTGATGTATTTATAAACGTTAGTGTATATAACTCTCTAACGGGCACTACTACATACATTCTGCATTTGGGCTTTCACCAGCAGATGGAGGCAGATAACTAAAATGCTGACACACACACACACATACACACACACACACACACACACACACACACACACACAGACATAAGGACTAGGCAGTTAAACTCTGAGGATTAATTGTTATCTGAAGCCATCCTCAATCCCAGTTATGTTTCATGGTGTGTATTGTATATGGTATTACAGATGTTCGATTGAGAGCTCAAACAAGTTACACACCGGAGAGACAGGGGAGATCAGAGAGAGATGAGAGAAAAGACAGACATGAAAGAACACAGAGACGACAGCACGCACATTTCTGCACTGACTTCCGACCTCTTCAGTGTGAGTACAAACACACACACACACACACACACACACACACACACACACACACACACATATATATATATATAGATATAGATATAGATAGATAGATAGATAGATAGATTAAAGGTTACAATGCGAAACAAACACTTTTTTGTGTTTCAAATGCTGAAAAAACACAGGTGTGATAGTCACCAAAGTGATAACTTTTATGTTTAATGTATTTTTATTTCCATGTTATCTTCTGTTTTCCCATGAAATTCGCCGAGAAGAAAATTGCTCTTTGAAAGCTGAGGAGACTAAAATTCCATAGACAAAAATAGCATTTAGACAAAAAGGACACACGAGATACTTCTGGCCTAGATAAAAGTGATAATAGTTATTCACAGCATCAAAACTGAGAAGACTCATAGTCTCAGATGAGAAACCTGATAGAAACTGTGAAATTCTTGTCCTTAGTTTAGTTGCAGATAAACATTAGCCTTTCTTGTCAAATCTGAGCACAATGTCTGACCTTGAGATCTCTATGAAAACTCAAGAGGAGACACGTGATAACTGAGGTTTTTTTTCTTCTTCTCCTCACATTGTTGTCTAGGAGAAACTACAGTAATATTAAGAAGAGATCTTTTTCATTATTTTACTTTTCTAGGAGAAGTTTTGTTTTTTTTTAGATGGTGTTTTAGCGAGTTAATTTACTTTTATATTTTACTTCCATTTTTTTCAGTACTCATAGTTAGTTGGGCAGTGTGACCATATTTATCGTTATCATGATAAATTACATCACAATATGTCACAATATGCTTTTCTGGGTATATCATGGATATCATCAGTACTTAAAAATCATGTCCCAACTGCATGTTTGATTTCAAAGAGAGCATGATTAGTATTGTTTAACTGTATTTAGCATAGTGTATGAAATATTGAATGGAAGTAATTGGTTTTACAAATAAATGTTTTTTGAAGTGGAGTGTTGGGATGGAATGCTATTTTTTGAAATTCTCGTCAGTGTTCTAGAGCACATTCATCTATAACTGTCAAAACAGAAAGCAATTACACTGCTCTGAAAACATGCTTAATATTTACTTAAAATGATTTACAATTTTGCCCCTAAAACTTGCATGTAAGAACAGTTTTGAGTAAATCTATAAGCTCTGAAGTATATGGATGATGTTATGAATATGACTGACAACATTAACGTCAAAGATAAAGCTATAGGTAGGAAATAGGCCCAGTTTGAAATTGTAAGATAACTGTAGATGGTCTGTTTGTAAACAGATGTTCTGGTGTTGTTTGCATGTCTGTAAACAGGGTGTTTTGGTGTTGTTTGTGCAGCCCGGACGGACACTGTGGGATCGGAAGCAGAGCAGCCGGTCAGAAGTGTTCTAAGCTTCCAGAAGAACCTACACCCTTCACATTACAGCAGAAATCACACACATGCCACACACCACACTCTAGACCAAGAGTACATCGGCCAAGCTAAGGTGAGAAGATAGAAGAAGGACTACAAGAACAGAAATAGAGAGAGTAGAGCACAAAGAGAGCTAACAGGCTGTGGTGAAAAAAAGTAATCATAGACAGCACATAAGAAAAGTAAGATATATACAGTCGTATAAAATGTTTGGGCAACCGTGGTCAAATTACTTGTTTTGTTGTTGACATCATTTACAGACAACATTTTTGTACTTTTTAATACACAATTACTGTGGATTTGCTAAATTTAACTTATTAAAAAAACACTAAATGTGGCCTGTGCAAAATGTAATACATATGTAATATTTTATGATATATTTCTTCCAATATGTTAAATTCAGCAAATAAATACAAATTGTGCGCTAAAATGCCCTATTTAGGTTTGTCCCTGTTCTCTGTATGTTAACTTATTTTCACTGTTTCAACATGTCATTTCACTGGGGGTATTCAAACTTTTGCATACAACTTTATATTCAGTGCAGAACATAAATCTACCCCTTAGTGAGCAAAACAGCCATATTTCCATATTTCTTTTTAATTAGAGATATTAGGGTGTATGTGCATTTAATGTGCTTGATGTTTTTCATTGTGAAATCTCTGTTCTGTGACAGTGTTTGCTGCGCAAAGTTGGAAGCTGGAGCTTTGATGTCTTCCTCTTTGATCGACTCTCAAATGGTGAGCCACCTACTGGCTACTACCTGTAATTGCAGTAACCGCTCTTCTTAATACACTATATAGAATTAAAGGAGCATTTTTGGCCTAACACGAAATATGTTAAACAGGTTTACTATGTTGTTCATTATGTTATAATACATTATTCTGTAGAACATCATTATGTCCTTCGACCTCCTGGGTTTGACATTTTATATCATTTTCTCAGCTTTCATTAGGCAAATATATCATACAACCATTGAAAATTCGTATGGTGTCAGCCAATCCTGACTACTAGCCTGGCCACTGATCAGTAGGCTAATAAATACAGCAAAGCTGTAGTTTTTTAGGTAAGCCATTGTGTTGACTATAATGATGATTTGAAGACAATTACTATAGTTAAACACCTAAAATAATATGTATGGTTCCTAGCAATACAGTTAGCTATTTGGCTTCCCTCTGCTAACATAAAAAAACTTCACAGTAGGTTGCCACCAAAAATGTACCCTAAAGCAGTTGTAGTTTTTTTTAAAGCATTCCTCCCACCTTTGCAATTCATCATCAGAATGGGATTTTCCAAGTCTTTAACATGGAAAATCAAACTCCAGAGACTACTCTGGCATTGATGTAGGATGCCAGAGTAAGCATATTTACAACTGATGTAAAGGTGGCTAGAGGTGTTAGGATTTTAGTTAAAGAGTGTGGAGCTTTTAATTCTCCAGATACAAAAAGCTACACAGACAATATATGATCAATGCTGTTCATATATGTCGTTAAAATAAAGCATAACACAGCCCTTAGTATTAGTATCGGTAATAAGGATGTAACAATACATCAGTATTTATTTTTCCAGTAAAACTGGTCCTTTTGGATAGGTAAAGAGTTTTGTTTGGCATGTCTGTTGTGTTGCATTATACAGCGGTTCTTTTCAAGCACAACAGTTCGCTCCAAGTAAAACTCATATTGTAGAAGAGACATGTCATTACTTCATTTATACCCCTCTGCTCATTCTTTCTTGACACAGGAAAGAGTTTAGTAGATTTAACCCTTCACCTCTTCAGTGACTATGGACTAATAAAGCTCTTCCGGCTGGACTTGCTCAAACTGCGGCAATTTTTAGGCAAGCCCACAAACACATGCACATACACACATGTTGGGTTGGGTTGGTTTACTAAATGCAAGTGGTAATACAGGCTTCAAATTCATCGTAGGAGATACAGTGATGTTTTTTTTTTCCATAGTGATGGTACATGAAGCCTACCGCAGTCAAAACCCGTATCACAATGCTCTCCATGCTGCCGATGTCACCCAGGCCATGTACTGCTACCTGCAGGAACCACAGGTGTGTGTGTTATTGAGGGGGAAGGCCAGGCCAGGAGATGCAGCCTGCAGGGAGCAAGACTGGGAGAAAGGGGTGACAGCAGTGAGAGGGGGTGACCTAAGAATGAAGAAAGGGGGAGGAGGGAGAGATACTGTTTTACACCATAGTATGAGTGTAAGACTGGTAAACACCAATGCATCTAATAAAATTTTTTGTGTGTCTGTGTGTATTTTTCAAGCTTTCCGAGTCTCTGACATCCTGTGATATCCTGTTGGGTCTGCTAGCTGCTGCAACTCATGATTTGGATCATCCAGGTGTAAATCAAACCTTCCTCATCAAAACCAACCACTATCTGGCCTCACTCTACCAGGTAAGGACACTTCCTCTGTATGGGAGCCAAAAACGAAATTAAAATTAGAACAATAAAATGTAAATGCAAACCTCTTTTTGCCATTTCTTTTTCCAAACATCTGCGCAAATACCCTGCCAAAATTGAAAATAAAATGAAATACCTACATTTGCAATTTCATTTTTCACATAAACACGAGTAATTTGTGATAAAAATAAAAATAAGTTTAAAACAACTATTTGTCATTTCATTTTAGTCGTTATTCCGGTCTTTCATGGTCATATCTAAAATGAAAAAGCTAATAGAAAAAAGAAAATACAAGCTTCACTTTGACTTTGGCTTTTCTTCATGAAACATATAATACGTGTCAAAACTAAAACCAAAATGCAGTGTTTACATTCTTATTTCTTTTTCATAGCAGTAGGCTGCATATCTGACAAAATGGATAAATCAACAGCAAAGTGACAGTTTGTGATTCCATTTTCGGCGTGGACGCGCTTTAAGTGTCAGAATAAAAAGGCAAATGCAAACGAACATCAACACCACCTGCTGGTGATTTACTTTTCATTTGCCACTTTGCTTTTTTGTTTTCAAACTGACCAATATGCAAATATATATTAATTAGCACTAGGCAGGGCTACAGGGTACATTTTAGGACATCCTCAGACCTCCGTGTCAGAACATCATTCCTCAAGCTAAACGATTTCGAGTCTCGAGAAAAAATACCGTCATGTCTCAGATCTGGTGAAACTGAACATCAGACCAAACACTGTCAGACCAAACGGCCACAGAAAAAACTGTGAAAATGATATATTGGCATTTATATCAAGAATACACAATTTTTCTAAGTAATACGAACCAGTATATGCTCGACCAGGCTTGCATTTGGTCTGATACCTTTTCTCTGAGGCCGTTTGGTCTGACGGCGTTTGGTTGGATGTACAGTTTCACCAGATCTGAGACATGATGATGTTTTTTCTCGAGACTTGAAGTCATTTAGCTTGAGGAATGATGCCGTTCTGATGCAGAGGTCTGAAGATGTCCTAAAATGTACCCCATACCCCCGCCTAGTGTTAATTAACATATATTTGCATGTTGGTCAATTTGAAAACGAAAAAGCAAAGTATGAAATGAAAAAGTAAATCTCCAACAGGTGGTGTCGATGTGACTGACACTTAAAGCGCGTCCATGCTGAAAACTGAATCACAAATTGTCACTTTGCTGTTGATTTATCCATTTTGCATTTTCATTTTAATTTTGTCAGATATGCAGCCTATTGCTATAAAAAAGAAATAAGAACGTAAACATTGCATTCTAATTTTAGTTTTGACACATATTCTGCATTTCATGAAGAAAAGCCAAAGTCAAAGTGAAGCTTGTGTTTTCTTTTCTCTATTAGCTTTTTCATTTTAGATATGACAATGAAATACCAGAATAACGACTAAAATGAAATGACAAATAGTTAATTTAAATGCTAAATAGTAAATTTATTTTTATTTTTGTCACAAATTACTCATGCTCATGTGAAAAATGAAATTGCAAATGTAGGTATTTCATTTCATTTTCAATTTTGGCAGGATATTTGCACAGATGTTTGGAAAAAGAAATGGCAAAAAAAGATTTGCATTTACATTTTATTGTTTTAATTTTATTTTCTTTTTTGCATCCCATACCTCTGCACCCAGATCTGACCACTGTTAATTTCATTGGCCTGGGACATGTGCATTAGTTTGTAGTACACAAATACCACAAGGCAGAGAAAATAAGAACATGTAGGGGGCCAGATGTACTAAACCTTTTGCGCCAGTCCCCACACTTCTCTGCTCCCACTCTTGCCTCGTCTCATTTGTTCCACCCTAGTTCTGCCTTCTTGTTATTCTGGTCTGTTATGGCTGTGTAATCCCTTCTAGCACTAATTGCCTCAAAGGTGTAACGGTTTCAGTGTGTGTGTGTGTGTGTGTGTGTGTGTTTGTTTTGTGTTTTTGTGGATTCCCCTGTGCTCTCTGTCTTTATTTTTAAAACCTTTTCCAGCCCCCTCGTCTGCCTCGCCTGCAGCAGTTAACTGGCAGCAGTCATAAGCCTTGATCACTTTCCAAAAAAAGATTGGCCAACAGAATAACACTATTTCAACAGAATAACACTGTTTCAAATCTCAGCACTCTTCCTCTGCCTTTTCTTATGGCATTGATGTCCTGTGATAGTACTTTACAAAACTGTATTCAAAATATTGTTTCCAAATTTTTGATCCAGAGTAGAATGACACCTCTATAGAATGTCTTGGTGGGAAAGAACAGTTATTAATACTACTCTTTCTACCTCAGTAAACTTTTTTTATGTTAACTAAGTGGTTGTTAGGGGGTTTCCTAGTGGTTGCTAGGTATTGTTAAAAATGAATGGGAGGCTATAGGAGTAAAGAGGGATGAGAAAACATACACACATAGAGGAGTGTGGTTCAGTATGGCTGTGGATTAAAGCTTGGGGACCTACCCTGATTAAGTACACTTGGTTTGGTGGCTGTCAGGCAAATTAAGTTATAGGCCTTGGGTTGGATAGATGAGTGCGGGTCAGAACATTGAATTTGTGCTCGGAGGCCTGCACTGAGATAGTATATGCAAAATAGAGTTCTTTGGTCAAGCAGAAGTACAGTAGATGTTTGTGCCACTTTTGCACTCAATTCATTCCTATGGGGGGAAAAATAGTCATTTAACAAGGATTCTACAAAAATCGTACGTCAAATCAAAAAGCAGTATACAAGCACACCATTCCTGTATACAAGACGGAACATTCCGGAGTTGGAATGGTGTCAATATCCCAAATACTTTGGGACAAGTTAGCAGACAAAAAATGTGTACCAAGAAGAAGAAGAAGATACCATATAACAATAGTGTTGTGTGTTTTATTTAGTTCATTTGAAAACGGTTGAAGATGATAGTTTGGATAAAATATGTAACATGTATGTAACAAGAAATGTAATATTTCTTTCTCCACTAAACCTAAAGGCTCTGAATCAGGGATGAAGTATTTTTCATTTTTAAATTTAAAGACTTTTAAAATTTAATCGGGTTTTCTTATAATTGGCGAAGCAGAAGTACTTTATTAGAAATTAACTCAAGTAGAAGTACATTTGCTGTGTTTTTTTTCTACTCCAAATAGTACTGTTACGGCAGAAATATACTCAAGTACAGTAACAAGAGTAAATATAATTTGTTACTTTCCACTTCTGGCTATATCTCGTACTTGAGTGTTGATAATGCTTACAGACTCAGTGTCAGCTGAGTGAAACCACACAGGCAAAGCCAAGAGATAGAAAATGAAGAACAGCCTAACTGTCAGAAAAAAGGTACTGTACAGGTACATTTTTATTCAAGGTACAAACAATGTGAATGTATCCTCAAAGGTACAATAATGCTCTTAAAGTCCAATTGTGTAAATTAAATCAGTTTCAAAGGTACACTCACTTTTCCAGTTGAAATACTTGCATCTTCTCATAACCTAATGTTTTAAAATAGAAAAAGCCTGGACAGAGTGCATGTAGGGCTGAATGATTTGGGGAAAATGTGTAATTGTGATTTTTCAGACCAATATAGCGATTGTGATTTAAAAAAAGAAAAACAGTGAATTGTTTAGTCCTAGGTGTATGCAGTCTTGATTTCAGCTTAATATATATAACTGAAACGGAATATGGTACAATTATGTTCCCTGACTAAAGGTACTGAAGATGTTCCCTTGATGGTACCACCGCAGTGACAGTTTAGTACCTGTTTTCTGAGAGTGATAGGTGTGTGTGTGTGTGTGTGTGTGTGTGTGTGTGTGTGTGTGTGTGTGTGTGTGTGTGTGTGTTATAGAACACATCAGTACTGGAGAACCACCACTGGAAATGTGCAGTCAGCTTGCTCAGAGAATCAGGTCTTCTGTCCCATTTTCCATCTGAGGACAGGTACACACACGCACACACAAAACATCTTGCTCTTTTGCACTCACTCACATGCAGCTCAAGAAAAAATATATAGCATCTATTTTAAATGTGTGTATATATATAAATATAGAAAATATAGAAATGACACTCCTGTGTAAGAACACTTCTAAACAATAAAGAATCTCATGCGTATGTAGGTATGTTGAGTTGATGTTTTAAAATAATCTGACATAACCTCTGCAATTTGCCCCTGTGGACACCAGTTTAAACCAGGGTCTGTAGGTGTTTCATGTTTTCTCCCACCTGTGATTCTGGGTTTCCGTTACCTGTGGCCAGATGTAGTAATTCTTTTCAAATGCAAATACATATATACCAAACGGATGCAGTTTATGCACCACTTACATACAAAGCAAACAAAATGCATTTCCCTCTTTCATACATATGTATCTGAGGGAGGATTCCACCAAAAATTGGTGGAGATTTTGGAATTATCGCTTATTACATGTTCTGTTCAAAGTACTAAAGTGTAATCAACTAGCAGTGGCCAGTTTTAATTAACACTATCCAAATTAACAGTATCCAAGGCGTGTTGTTGGGAAACTTTCTTTAACAATGGAAACTGTCATTGTGGCTGGACAGATTCATAGGACTCAAGCATGTGCTGAAAGAATATTTACCAGCAGAATAACTCTACTGCCTTTCAGAGACAGATGTATGTATGTGAGAAAGCGCAGTACAAGATGCCTTGATGTGGGTAGAATTTGTTTTGTTTTTGGTGGGAAAGAAAGTAATTTTTTAACACCTCTATCTCTTTACTGTGCCTTTTAAGTCCTGAGCGTTGTAAGGATAGCATAATTAGTACGTGGTCCTGTGTACAGTTTGCATGATTAGCTGGAGCTTAAACTGAATATTAATTTCATTTCATGCATTTGTAACACATATTGGGGTCTTATCAAGGCACATTTTTCACTGTGCCTTCTCACATACATACACATATATATATCCCTCACTGTCTCCATTCCTCTCTCATTAACTCAGTATGAATAAAAACTGTCTGTTTGTGTGTAGACAGAACTTGGAGGAACGACTGGGTTCTTTGATTCTGGCGACTGATATTAGCAGACAGAACGAATATCTGAGTCAGTTCAGAGCACACCTGGACCGAGCTGACCTACACTTGAACAATAGCCAGAACAGACACTTCGTACTGCAGGTGACTACACACACACACACACACACACACACACACACACACACTACATAGTATGCTTATAAATGCACCTTGCCCAAACACACATGATGAAAACAGCACACTCAACACATACTGTTAGAGCTTAAAATATTTATCCAAACTTGGGATCAGACATCATTTGCCAAATATGCATTGCACTCAGATTTCATACAGCATGCCTCCAGCTTTTAACAGATTTCATCCTGTACTTCCCCCTCCTTTAGTTACCTCTTACTTTGTGTCCTCTACTTTCATTACCTTGTTTTAATCAGGCATGCTTGTGAATTTAGTGCACCTGTGAGAAAATGGAAGCATGGGAAATTAACACAGCAGATACAAACTTGTTGCTATGGGCAGGATTGGACTTTGAAAAAGTAGGCAGAAGATGGCAGAATACTGAATAAACTGTCCTGATTGTGTTCAGTAATGTATGTCATAACAATACATAAAAAGTAACATATTCAGAATACATTTAGAATACATCTTGGTAAGCCACATGGGAATTTTACTTAATTTACACGGTTCCTCCTGTTACAGCTTGGCAGATTTCTTAATGTAATTATTCTGTTAATATGTTTCACGAACAATTTTCTTATAACTGAAGTCACAAAAAGTCTCAATTTTTTCACACATCCTGCTTCATTCTACTGCTGCTCCCATAATCACCCAAGCAGGAGTCCAGTACAAGACTGATGCTATGCACCAGTGTTCTCTCACAAACATGCCCACTACTGAGGAGATTATTAGTTTGATTATCCATTAATAGAGCTCAGTAATGTGGATAAATAACTGGTTTATCACCTTAATTTATCAGTCTACTCAGGCTTTAGTAGGGACTGAAGTGTTTATAAAGAAGTTGTTAATTAAGGTTCTCTTTATAATTAATTTGTCTAACGAGTTTGCTACATTCAGTGCACTGATTCTAAAACAGTTAATAAACATGTTTATGAATGATTTTTTTGATGGTTGTATATATTTTTTCTTATTTTGTAGGTAGGTATTGTAGGTATTTTAAGTGTATTCTCCTAAAAATAACAAAAATAAATAATTGTCAAAAAAACATACATCAGTCCAAGTTACATTTTATAAAGGCAGTATTCAGAATACATTGATTTTATTTCTGTATTCTAAAAACATATTCCCAACACTTGTATTCCATCACATCCCAATCCTGGTTATGGGTCATGTTATAGCTTGGAAAGAAAGTTATTGGCTGTATTCAGGTTTAGACCAAAATTTCAGGCCTGATTAAAACTCTACAGCAAATGCACTGCATGCTACACGCATTACACCCAGCTCAGACACTGTTCACTGCAGGTGTATTATGAACCAATTCTGTGCTCAAAAGTGCTGATTTCTCATTACATTGTATAACTGCAGTGATTTTGCTGTGTGTAATACCCTGAATATCTCTTTCTCTTTTTCTCTGTTGCTCTTTCTTTCTCTCAGATGGCTCTGAAATGTGCAGATATCTGTAACCCCTGTAGACCCTGGCACCTCAGCAAGCTCTGGAGCCACAAAGTTACTGACGAGTTCTTCAATCAAGGTACAAACCCACACTCACTCTGTCCACCTTCTTTAGTCAGTTCAGTTCAGCTGACCTGGGCTGGAATTCCCAGAAGCATCTTGGCACTAAGATGATTCTTAAATGGTAGCGCAAGCATCATGCTGAACATTCTCGGTACCACTTAAGATGATCTAAACACTAAGATGCCCAGCCCAGCCCTGTTCAGTTACTTCCACAGGGACAGCATTATATTCACTTATAGCTATAAGCTATATGCTATGTGCTGAATAACTGCCTAAATCGGGGATGAATCATGGTCTGTGGGGCCCCTGGGCTAAGCACCTTTGGAAGCCTGTGAACTTTAAAAGTATTTTTTTCCACATCAAAGGGTAAACCACTATAACACAAAATATTTATCAGGTACTCTATGCGTTTGTATTACTACTACTATTACTACTACTACTACTACTAATAATAATAATAATAATAATAAAATTAATAATAGTAAGTAGTGGTTGTTGTGGTTTGTGGTAACAGAAACCTGACTGATAAATGAGTGTTTTTGCAGTTCAAATTCATACCTTGAAAAGGTACACTAGCTAGTATTGAGTATTTTAGTTTAAAACATTTAGTAAAACTTTAGGCAAAATAACTTTTATGCAGTTAAAATTCATACTTAAAAAAGAATATCCCAGGTAGTATTAATTTAAGACCCCGCTGTAGTGTGATTGATAAATGTAATGAACGTAGCTGTAGGTGCTCCTACGTGGTGCAATCATCTAAGCTTTCTCCATATTGTTGGGAGAAATATGGGGAAGGTAGCTGTAGTATGTTGGAAGAGTTTGAATCCCAGGCCAGGAATCAGAGAGAGCATAATTGGTCTTGCATGCTCCATGTGGGTAGGATGGCTCTTTCATTCCCCTGCCACTTGATGCTAGCTAGTGTGGGCATAGAGCTGTCCAATGAGAAAAAGCAGTGGCTTGGCTTCATTCACAGGAAGCATGTACTTGTCTTCACCATCCAAGCACCATCCAACATAGATAGGGAGACCTATTTAGTGGGTGGGAAGTGGAGGGGAAAAGTGGTTGCTGTAGTGTGTTTCAGCATGAGTTGACTCCAAACTGTGTGACATGGATTAATTGTTTGTGTGTTTCTTTGTCTGTGTAGGTGACATCGAGAAGAGGCAGAATCTGGATGTGAGCGTACTATGCGACAGGAATGCAAACACTGTGGCCAAAATACAAATCGGTACTTTAGGCAAACACATGAACATAAATACAAAAACGCACAAACACATTTGCACATTCATGCACACATCTACAATATATGGACAAAAGTATGTGGATGCCCCTCCTAATGATTGAGTTCGAGTGTTTTAGCCACAAGTACATAGCCGTACAATCTGCATAGACAAAGGAATGCCACCTTAGCTGCAAGTCAGTTCATGCCCTGCTGGATGTGCCCTTGTCAACTGCAAAGTGCTAATATTGTTAAAAGGAAGCACCTGAAAGCAACAGCAGCTTAGCCCTGAAGAGGCAGCCAACGCAAACTCACAGAGTGGTCACTGAGTGCTGAAGAGCACAGGACATAAGAAACCCCTATCCTTTGTTGTATCACTCACTATACACTTCCAAACTGCCTCTGGAAGCAACATCAGCACAATAACGGTGTAGGGCCAGTTTTCAGGGTCTGGGCTTGGTCCTTTAGTTCCAGTGAAGGATACTATTACACCATACACCATACAAAAACATATTAGACAGTTATTATATATTAATGCCCAAGGTTTTGGCATATGATGTCCAATAAGTTCATATAGGTGTGATGTTAAGGTTTCCACATACTTTCGGCAAAATAGAGTATGTACTTACTCATATGTTCACTTACTTACTTACATACCATACAAACATCCTCTCTGTCTCTGTCCCCTTCTCTCTTTTTCGATAGGGTTTATATCGTTTGTGGTGGAGCCATTGTTTGTGGAGTGGGCTCGTTTCTCAGACACACCCCTTTCCCATATAATGCTGGGTCACATGACTTCTAACAAGTACAAATGGACCCACCTACCACAGGAGGACCTGAAAGAAAGCACCCAGAGCACATCATCCAAAACTCTACCTCAGGGTGGCCTGGGGCCATGACCTTTTTGTACACACACACACTCACACACACACACACAAAAAACAAACACATACTATACCTATGCCAAGGAGGGTAAGAGACTGAAGTACTGCCAACCCCCGTGAATACAGACACACACATGCTTGCACACACTTCCCACTTCATTAAACCACTAATGTTTCTTATTTTAAACATAATTTATTATATTTAATAAGAGCTTTTCTTCTTAAACATAGAGCAATACAGAAATACCTCACACTGCCTATTCTTCCAGTGCTCCTCGTCAAGCTTCTGTTTAATTTATTTTGTGTGTGAAACAGTTGAAAGTTGAATTGAAGGGAATGGAAACCAACATACAGACATATACACATAAACTGTTTGAGCTGAGAAGGGGTGTGCGCGCTCCTCCTGAACTGATGTGCCATTACACTGTACTTAATATTGAACTGTACAAGTGATGACACAAGTTACTGTTACGTGCCATACTCCACTTATCCACTCGGTTTTTGCTCTTTCTCACACACATGCATACTTGTGCACACACGCACGCACATATAAACACATTGAAGTAAGTGCACTGATGCGTTTAACGCCATAAAACCAGTGTGTTTCTGTCTTTACACTGTGAACCATGAGCAAATCGCTCTTGCACATACACAGCACATCATAAGCCAGCACTACTACTTCTACTGTCCCTGCTAATACAGACACACACTCATACAACATATGTCCAAAAGTTTGTAGACACCTGCTCATTCTGTGTTTCTTCCATAATCAAGGGTATTTATAGGGAGTATTCTCCCCTCCTTGCTGCAGTAACTGCCTCTATTTTCACGTGATGGTTTTGCACTAGATGTTGGGACATGATGATTTGCGTTCAGCCAGGAGAGCATTTGTGCTGGATGATTAGTTCTAGATCATAAGCAGCACTCCAGCTCATCCCAAAGGCCTAACGCTGTGGGGCTTTATAGCCGACCATTGGCATTGGGCATGGTGACCTTAGGCACGTGTGTGGCCTCTTCAGAGTATCCTATTTTATTGCAGTGCTTTTCTATGCAGATTAAACAAGCTGTTTAAGCAAACTGTGCATAATTAAACGCCTGTGTCAGCAGTGGGTGCACCCAACAGTAGCTGTATTCACTAATTGGAAGACGTCTACAAACTTTTGGGCATCTAGTGTACTTATTTTAACCCCTCAAACTCTACACTATGGTGTGTGTAGCTTTTACTTCGAGTCTTCATAGTCAGCCTGAAATGTGAGTTTGCCTACAGAAACTACACTCTGGGTTATACACATCATTGGTCAGATGAGAGGGATGACATGGCCCACTGAGCCTTTATAACAGTCTTTGTAAGTCTTGAAAAAGACAGTTTAACACCTTTACAGCATTTTTTTAATAAAGACAGTGAGTTTTACTGTCTATATAGCAGTATAGACAGTGAGTTTCAACATCTTTACAACAGTGTTTATAAAGACAGTGAGGCTCAATGAGTTATTACACCTTGTAAAGACAGTTATTCTAAAGCTTTTGTAAGGGTGCTTATAAAGACTCATAGGACAAAGCAGTTTAATAACTAAGCTTGTTTATAAGCTATGCACTAAGCTGCGTGACCAAATCTTTGTCACAGAGAGAGCTCAACCTCTTTCAGCAGCTGCTTGCCTTTAGCGAGGGACTTTTAGGTATTTTTTCTGTTTTTGATTTTCAGGTTGATACATTCCTCATTTATTTGATGTGCCCTTATTACATTTTCCTGACACTCTCCTGCTTGGTTTGTCCCCTCCAGTAGAAGACAGCTGTGAATGGTGATCTAGGGTCAATTATCTTTCACGTCTTGATTCTAAACCCATTGAGGATGGGTGGGGGATTTTCCTAGATCAGTAATTTGAATCTTAGATACTCCATACACATGCAAATAGATTCTCTGATCATTTTGCATTGCTCTTTCTTGGCAAGCACAAGGAGGCTGAGGTTGAGTTGAGAATGCTGTTTACCATTTTGTGGGAAGTTCTTTTTGAATACAAGCTTTTAACAAATCGAAGGAGAGTCGTTTCTAACGTTTTGCCAAAACTGATTTTGATACACACCCATTGCGGTAACATTTTCTTTAATAAAAAGGCAATTGACAGAAAAGGTTTTCTGTTTTGTGTCCTCTATTATGCCACATTTGTTGTGTTTTCTGAAGCACAGAGCACAGTACCCCAACTTTCCACTCCAACAAACAAACACCAACAAACTCAAATGTTGTTGGTGTGTCGTATCTGTGGCTCTAGAATATTCTTGTCTATTTACACTAGTTCATTTGGTTTTTCACTTTTTTAAATTTGGAACAGTGTAAATCCAAATGCTAAAACTGTAGTCATGTGAAGAAGTAAGTACACCCCATGGAATGTTTCTCTTTTTTTGACATATGTGGACATATCAGTAATTTATCTTCAGTTAAACAGTATGTAAAAGAGAAAGGTTACATAATAGAACAACTATGGAAATTTGACTTTACAATCATTTATTTAAAATAAATCAACTTTGTCCATTGAAAAAGTAAGTACACCCCTGGCCTCAGTAACTGGTACTACCCTTTTTGGCAGCAAAAACTTTAGGGAGGCATTTACTATAACTGTCAGTTTCTGACACCTACTACCTGAAGATCCTGTGATGACGTTTTGGGGTTCAGAGAGTCTTAGCATCTTACAGTCTGTTACACTTAAATTTGCTGGGGAGGCCTGGCCTGGAAAAGTTGGCAGTAGTTTTAAATCTTCTTCTCTTGTAGATGATGTTCCAGACAGTGAAATAATTGATTTCCAATACTTTTGAACCTCTTTTGAGACTCATATGCATCTACATCTTTCATTCCGAAGGCATTAGAGAGCTCTTTTGATCTAGGCATGATGATATTCCACACTCTAATAACAAAGAGCAAACCAGACCAGATATCTGATGTTTCAATAAGATAAAGTTCTCCTAGATATTCTCTAACAGTGTTCTAATTATTAGCACCTGAGCACTTGATTTCAATTTGACACATTTAAAGTAGAGCTTACTTTTTTTTTTTTTTCATGACAAATTTGCATTACTATTTACTTTAATTATATACAGGATGACAAAATTTTTTAATTCTAAGTGTCAGTGTTAAATTATATCACCTTTGTCTATCAATGCTGTTTAAATGCAGACTTGATATCTGTATCACTAAATATGTTGAAAAAGCCTACATTTTAATCAGGTGTTCTTCTTCGCATGATTGTATATTTGTATATGGCACTGAAAGCAAAGGTAAACAGGATAATTACACAGATTTCTTTTTGTACATTTTATATGTGGTTTTATATAAATATTATTACAGTACTACTTTTCACAGGTTAAGTCTAGGTTGGAAACAAACGCTTAAATGCTTAAAACACAGAGCGAAAAATTGTCCAGTCAGGCATTGTTACACTTTGTGGTAGCTACGTCGATATAGCTATGCAAACTCTCCTTTTAGTTAGGGCTTCAAATGCTGAAGAAAAGTCCTAATGTGTTGGATTAACTATCAGCATAATTACAAAGTGTCAGAGGAATCAACAAATCATGTTGGGAGCAAAGGGTGGAACTAATTTTGTGAGAGGTCTAAGACCTATGTGTCAAACACAAGGCCCATGGGCCAGATCAGACCCGTGACACAATCCTATCCAGCCCACAAAAGTATTTTAATTTTCTATTAATATTAGTCTGTTTCACAGTGCACTGCACTACTGTCCCCAGCATGCACTGCAACGTAAAGTGCGCTCTGACTCTCCTATTCCAACAACAATCTATTTGACAGTAGTTACACCTCAATTCTACACAATTCCACACCAGTCATATCACCAAACACACTAATTTCATTTATACCTAATGTTAGCTCAGCAGCTCAGAAATTGAGCCCAAGTCTAAATGAACTTGCAGCAAAGAAAGGATGCGAGGTGTCTAGTTTAAGTAAATAGATTGGTTTAAAAGACTGAGCCCCTTGGGAAATTTAAATTCTGAATATTTCAAGTATTCATGTAATATTTCAAGGTCTACTACAAGTGCCTAAATTTTACTGTTGAAGTTTTTGTGTGTTCTGGCCCATGGATTTGTTGAGATTTTTTAATATGGCCTTAATATGGAGTTTGACACCCCTGCTCTAAGTCTTCTGGAAGTCCAAGATGTGTCACTGACTGAATACCAGTAGCAGCTTAATCAGTGGTTTAGAAATGAAAAGAGCAGTGGCAGCTCTAAAGCTCACTACTGAAATAATCACTGTGAAACTGCTACAAGATAAATTATATGCCAATATCTCTGTCACAAGCTTCAAGTTAACATGAAATTTCTTTTACAAGCTTCACATGTCTGTGTTTAATCTAGAACTGCTCCCAGTTCTTTAAATGATGCAGCATTGACATTCTGGTGCCAATAAATGTCCCGGGCCACCTTAAACATTGCAGCAGTTACATTCTGGTGTCTGGTGCAATGTTTAAGGTGGAATGAATAGTTCAATTAAGAAGTTATCTTTGGCCTCATCAAAAGCGTTAGCATGAATCACCGTTAGCTTTGCGCTGACAAACTGACGTTGAGGTGTTTTTTCCTCACCTTCACCATTCTACTTCTACTTGTGCATTGTTGCTTTTAATGTTGATGATTGTTAACATCTAGAGCAAGTGGATCACAAAGCCCTTCAGGAAAAATTGTCCTAAATTAAGGCACAAAAAAAAAATCTGTTGAATAATAAATTGTTTTACATCGCCAGCGTGGGCTCATGCCGCTTCCTGCAGCTGTTGTTGGTGCTTGGGGCTCAGGTGCTGGCTTCACGCTGCCTCTCATGGCTCTCGTGGCTCATGCTCTCATTTTAGTTTATTTGACTGTGAATTATTTAAGCTGATTAATGTACAAAAATAAGCTGCTATGTAGAACCCTACAAATCGCTTTTGTCAAAAGTACTGAGAAAGTACGGAAAAATGTGAACTCTGCACTATGGTAACACATTTGATACAAATATCAGTCTATTTAGCCACAATAAGCCATTTAAGAGGTGTTAACAATTAAGAAACGCATTTGTGCAGTGCTGTGTCTTAAGATGTTTTAAGATGTATAAATGCAGCTGGGTATGAAAACATTAATGTTAACCATTAAAAAGGAAATAACCTGTAAATTTTATTTATGGTATAAAGTGCAGTTGTGAATATCTAGCTATTGAAATTCACAGGCAATCTAATGAAAACCACTTGAAAAATCACAAGCGACAGGGACAGACTGATTTTTCTACATTTCTGTATAACAAAATGGTTAAAATGTAAACAAAGTCATTCAGAGCGGTTTGGCATGAAATGCTCTGTTCTAGAGAAACATCAAGTCAGAACTGTTCACAGTCATGGTGATAGAAACCTGATGTCTGAAGGGTTTAATGCCTATAAAAGATACCTCACAGAAAGTTTTGACATGAAATAGCTAAGAATATGCTCCTTGATGCCTAAACTTTGTTTTTTTTTTTATATGCTTTTTAGAGGTTTATTTGTAACAGCTATTCATGGTTCACTACCACTGTACAGAAATCTGAGTTGGCAGATTTCTCTACAGTTAACTATTTCACATAAAACCACTCAGAATGACTTTGTTTACATCTTAACTATTGAATTATTCAGAAACTTTGAAAAAATTGTGGAATTCCCCTTTAACAAAGTAGCACTTCTAAGTCGGAGTGGCTAAAGATTTATCGTTACTAATTGAGATCATGCTCAATGTGTAATACTGACGATAGGAGTGCTTTTTAGAAATCTTTGATCTTTTAGGGAAATTTAAAATTAGCTATAAATATCTGTAACAACTGGCACACAAGTCGGTACTGCTGTAAACTTGTACTTACTGCAAGGCTCTGTGCGACAGGATGTGCTCGAATACATCTACAGGAACACGTTTAAAGCGCACCGTTGATTGGCTTGTACCAGTAAATCTCATCCAATGACACGCGAATGGGCGAGGCGGAGCCCACAGCCTTTTACTCGGAGAGGATGCTGAGGTTTAATAGCGAGAGCGGTTAGTCCCTGGACTTATGGTGTCAGGTTTTGAAAGATGATTCACAATTCGTGAAAAGGAGTCGGATAATGTTATATCTGATGTCGTGTAGGCTGAATGTATCTTCAAAGCCTTTATGAGTATTTTGTAGATCTGCTGGTGAACAGTGTGGGTGTGCTCGGGCTGTTTTGTCTTGCTTGTACACTAATGGGCGTAGCGTAGTGCGTCCAGTAATATTAACAGACGTTGAAAGATGCAAGGCTACAGCCACAATCATACTTCACACAGACTGTAGGCAGAAAATTGATAGACAGTTGACCAGCTAGCTTAGGATAAAATACATAGGCCTAGGTTAAAATTACCAGAAACGATGATAAATTCTGACTGTGAATCGTTTGTGGCTTGTTGATAGCGCGCTTCAAGACTGTTTGCTTCACCGCCGAGTGTGTATGGGTCGCTTAGCTGAGAGGGCAGTATGAGCGCGGAGCCGGACGCTTTAGCCGTTGTGAATCAGCTGAGGGAGCTGGCGGCGGATCCGCTGAACCGGCGGGCGATAGCGGAGGACCAGGGCTGTCTGCCCGGTCTCATTTTATTCTTGGATAACTCCAACCCACAGGTGGTCTATACAGCTCTGCAGGTGAGAGAGACAAAACGTACACACACGCGCTTATTTCAGGAAACATGGGTTTCTGGGAGACAATCCATCGGTTTAAGTGACGTAATCTGCTGTAGTTTACTGTGTGTGTGTGTGTGTGTGTGTGTGTGTGTGTGTGTGTGTGTGTGTGTGCGCGCGCGTCTGGGTGCGCGCTTGTCCGCATGTCCTCGCAATGATGGAACAACATGACACAAGTAAGGGCATTTTGGCTGGTCGTCAACTGAACAGCCGTTTTTATCACATTCAATTGTTTTGGGAAAAAAAACTAAAAGAGCAGAAAGATTGCCTTTTGGATACTGAGGTTAAGGTAAGGTCAGGTTTAGCTGTAGTGTTACCAGGTTACAGTAATACAGAAATCAATGGAAATCAGTCAAAGTTCTCACAAGTAATGTAAGACAAACGTGTGTGTATGTGTAGGCTCTGCGGTACCTGGCTGAGTGTCGGGCTAACAGAGAGAAGATGAGGGGGGAGTTTGGGATGCTGCTGAGTCTACAGAACGTAGTAGAGAAGTGAGTACAGTGCTGCTCTCACTCACAGACAGACCATTCTGTTTGGCTGAGAGCTGAACTGAAAAGCTGTATGAAACCTTTGGGGTTGTGATTCTTTTCCTGTGTGGTTTCCAGGACAGCAACGCTGGGGGAGACGCGGCTGCTAGCATCTGAGGTGTATGAGCTGTTGAGGAACGTAGGAGCAGATGGAGGAGAGGAAGAGAGAGATGGAGAAAAGGATGAAGAGATGGCCTCCTGCAGGCGCAAAGCCCAGTTTTTCCTCGGCTCGTCCAACAAACGTGCTAAAACTGTCATACTGCACATTGATGGCCTTGATGATTCGGTGTGTGTGTGTATTTAGTGTTGCAGTGTCCTGTTCTTCATGACTGATGGCTCTCATTGAAGGTGTATACAGTTGTGTACAGTTATAGTGATATGAAGTTCCTCCCTGCAAGCACACTCCCAACTGTGATACAGACACCATTGTTCTACTGTTCGTGAAGCTCTAAACGGGTGCCTTCTGACCCCTATGAGGTAAAGAACTACCTCATAGAGATAGCCCCAGTCTGACACCAGGTTTCAGGTCTGCAGCTAATATCAGCACAAAATGCTGGACCAGATATCATCACATCCTGTAACAAATTTAGCCTGAAATAGTACACTCTTATGTTGTGTTATGTCATGCCTGTGAGTTTCTTCTTGTGAAATAGTATTTGAGTAGTTTGTGCATGGCAGCATACATTTAGATGCTCATCTTAAAGTGGAATTCCACCAATTTTTTTTTTTAATTTTGGCATAATTCTGTTACTGAGATGTAATCAAGGTAACTCAGAGTGGTTTGATGTGAACTGGTTTGTTGTAGAGAAACTTGCTGCCTCTTATTTACAGTAGTGTTGATAGGAACCAGGGGCCACAATGTCGACAATGCAATGATAGCCATTTTATTTACTATCCAAAACAACCAGTAAACCTTCACGTGTCTTCTGAAGTTTTATATGTAATGTTAATATTCGTAAAATAGTGGTAAATCTGAAAAATGTTCGGTTTCTGTGAAGGAGCTTTTAGAGGCATTAAGACGTCTGGTTCCTGTCACCACCATTGTGAATATTTCTGACTCGGTAAGTCTCTCTAGAAAGGAGGATTCCACATCAAACCACTCTAAATGACATTGTTTATACCTTTGTGATTTAATTATCTGCGATGGACTGGCGATCTGTCCAGGGTGTATCCTGCCTTCCGCCCAATGACTGCTGGGACAGGCTCCAGCACTCCCCTGTGACCAGAAGGATGGGCGGTTTTAGAAAATGTGTGTGTGTGTGTGTGTGTGTGATTTAAATATACAAAAAAATTGAAAAATTGTGGAATTACCCTTTAAGTTAATTGCTGCAATTAAAATAGGTTCCTTATGCAGTATTTTTGCACTAATCTTTATTTTAAAACTTAACAGCATTTTCACTTGCCCATTTACCTCCGAGAGGACATATTTTGTGTAATTTGCAAACAGAGATTTTTTTTGTTACACGTTTTCACAACATTTCCAGTTATTGTGAACCACTATTTAACCACTATATAATTCCAAATGTTTAGGTTTTAAACACTTTTCTGTAATACTTTTTAATCACACTTTAGTCGCTTTGTTTAGCTTAGCCTTTCCTTTATTTTAGAACAACTTGGGGAAAGCATCAAATAAACACCTAGACATCACAGTATTATTTTTGAAACTAAAAGTTCTCTTCTTCAACACTGATGTTTATTTGATGTTACAGCTAAGCGTTCCCAAAATGGTCCTCAGTTATGGTAACAGTACCACTGTGATTCATTTAAAAAGGTTTTATGGAAAAGTGTTTTATAATATACTTATATTATAAAACTGTAAATGTTTAATGTAAAATCCTGTGAATGCAGGAGCGCAGGTCCCTCTGTGAGGATGCTCTACTGAGGATTCGAGGTGTGATCAGCTTCACTTTTCAGATGGCAGTGAAGAGATGCATTGTCAGGATCAGATCTGACCTAACTGCTGAGGTAAAATGCACACACTCAAAAAATCATGAAAGCTTAACATTTATTTCCATTGAAGTCCTTATATGGCACAGACCCAAAGCTCCTCATACAGCAATGATAGTGAAGGATTCAGCAGGCTAGATATATGTAACACACTGTGGTTTTATGGAATTTATTGTAATGTTTGTTGTTTTTCTAAACCTAATACTCCTATAATTTCAGTTACTTGCTAAAACAAAATCATCTCACGCACATTCCATACAATCCAGGCATTCCAAAGCAAATTAGTGTCCAAAAAGGGTTGAGATTCTCGAGCACTTCCATTGTTAATTTGTTACTGAGCAATTTTGTATGTTTGTGGTTTGATACTCAGTGGCCTTTATACATCAAAGTGGTGTTTAATGACGTCCATACTACTCTACGTCATACTACTCTACATTCATAAAACTTTTGTATGATGTGTAAACACAGAGTGCAAATGATGAATCCGTTTCAGTGTGTGAAATCTCATTTATATGTCATTTGTGTGAAGCACTCCTTGATTCATGCATAATTTTTGGTGGGGGGCCAATAAAACATCATTCAGCTGCTCATGAGCCAATGGCTGGGCTCATGAGGTCCAGCAGTGAGTGCACTGCTCCCTTACTGACCAACATTGAGTTTATCTAGAGTGCACTGCTCCTCCTACCGACCAAACATTGAATTCGAGAGTGCACTGCTCCCCCTACTGGCCAGACATTAAAATTACGACCACTGGGAAGAGTAAGGCCCAATCCCATTTCACCCCTTGCCCCTCCCACTTAGCCCTTAGCCCTCTGTTTTGCGCGTTCATGTCTAGGGTTAGGGTGTCCCAATTTTTGTTGAGATGGAGGGGTAGGGCGAAGTGTTAGGGCTACATGGCCCTCCAAACGGAGATTTTTCAGAGGCACACTCCAAACGGAGTGTTATCAGAAAGAAGGAAAACCGGCAAGATGGCTGCGCAAGCGACCAAAGAAACCCACAAATGTAAATATTTTCTCTGTTAAAAAATTACAATAACTATCGTATTGTCTTAGTTTAATGTTGTTTCAATGTATTATGGTCGTTTTCTTCATAACAAGCATAAAAATCGCTAATAGCATGCTAGTTTTTCGGTAGCTAGCTAGCTAACTTTTCCGTTCCACCTTAAATAGTCCAGCAGTATTGACGCCTGAAGCTTCAGAACAGAGAACTTGTAGAGATGAGAATTACCAGAGCCGGTTTATGAGGAGCCTGGCCACTCCCTATTCCTCCCGTTATATCAAAAACAGGACTGCTAAACAGCAGAGGGCGCCCGCGAGTGAGTCCTCAGTGAATGAGAGTAAATGGAGCTCAACGACTCGAGTTTTTAAACTCGAGTTATAGGAGTTTAAAACGGCGCCTCATGTATGTCCATGACGTCAGTGAGCGCGAACAGCCAATGAGCTGCTCCGCTCGCCAATCAATCATCACGCTCTAGCAGTAATGCCCGCCTGTATGCATGTAAATTATTAGTATTATTGTTATTTTCTATTTTTATTCTTATTATTGGTATTTTAGATGATATTCATAATAGTTTGGGTTGGTTAACTGCAATTCAAGCATTTTCTTTTTCAGTTTGTTAATATATTATGCTTAAATGTACACACAGAGTACACCAGACTAGAGTTTGAACGTACAGGTACACCAAAAGTGAAACTGATGGATAACAAAACTGTTGGTGAAATCTGTGTCTGCTAATTTTATGATCAGATTGTAATTAATTTTGATGACTTAAGGGCCAGTGGGTTTGTGGTCCTGTGTTTCTGCATTCTTTGTCTGACTTTTTACTGCCCTCTGGTGGTGTATAAATTTGTTTAACTTAAGTTGCAGTAAAACACATAACCATGCCTCCTCTCTTAATAGACTCTGGCCAGTGCAATTGCCTCAACTCAGGTGCTAAAGGCTCAGCAGGTGGTGAAAGGAGAGAACGGCGATGAGGTCAGACTCTAATACCACACCTACCCTCATGCTACTACTATCCTTACTTTAACACTAACCTTCACTCTAACATTAATCTTAATACTAACCATGACTTTTATGCTAACCTTTCTCTAATACTAACCCTTACTCTCAAAAGAATTGTTCCTGCACCTCTACAGCTAACTATTATCCCTAATGCCTAACCATATCCCTAAAACAAATACAATGAGTTCAAATTTGCATTGTAATTTTTGGAAGCAAATGATGGTGAGGTTATTCTCCATCCATTCTTCTCTAAAACATCACACCACAACATTCATCCATTTTCATTGTTAAAACAATCTGATCTGCCCAGTTAAGGCATCATCAATTAGATTCCCACTTGGCAGCAAACAGATTTTATTTAAACATGCACAGCAAAAGACAAAAAGTGTCTCAGATTTTTTTCAAAACATGAATTTTATATATATATATATTTATACACTCATTTAAGTGCATGTTAGTCAATGCTTAGCAAGTCTTCTGTCACCACAAACCACTACTACAACTACTGATGATGAAGATAATTATTATTACTACAAGTACAATTGTAGTATAAAACATAGACCATCTGATAAACATTTTCTCTTGAATTAAATAAACTTACATTTAGCAATAGAATAACATGGGACTCATTTGCATTTCTGCTGAATGTAAGTGAAGTTTTTGTGAGTCAAATGCTGGCAAATTCTGCGTTCTCAGTAGATTTATTTGATAATTCTGTTCATTTCATAATTCTGCATTCTCACTGTATTCATCTGATAATTCTGTTAATTTCTGTTTCAACTGTGTTCTATTTCAACTTCAATTCTGACATACTGTATCTACCTTTGTGTAACAATTGAGTCAGGAACATTGTGAACCCACAGGCCGGTACTTTGAGACCCGTAATGTAGAGAAAGAACTGTTTTACTGGACTTGAGTGCCCGAGTACTACAACACTACTTGTGCGTAATTCTAGCGCTATCAATGCTCTAGGCCTTATAAAGATATGGGGTCACACTCAAGTTAGGTCAAAACAATTGTATTTATGTAGCAAGTACAATATATGTGGCTTTTTTTGGAACGTTGTAGGGCCAAATGGTTCTGAGCCCAGAGAGTAACCATTCCAGTGGAATTTCCACCTGGTATGGAATGCTTACAAACCATGCCTAGTACAGTTTCTTGGCATGGTAAGCTAGACTTGCTCAGTGTAGCAGAACCAGTTGCATAGTGGTGGATGGGTTAATGACGTATGTATTCACTGTTCAGCTTTATATTTCTGCCACTCTTGTGACACCTCATAGGACATTAATGCTGATTCATATATTCTTATCTTGGTTTGAAAGAAAAAGAAACTATAAATACTTACATGAGTCTATGCCAGTGCAGAACGGCAGGATTCGGCCATGGTAACCTTAACCCTGCAGTACAGAAGAGGCTATTGTGAAAAGCAGCTTTACAGAAAACTGACAGAAAACTAACGAGAAAGCCAAGTGCAATAGTGGGAGGGAAAACTGCCAAGATAACATGAGAAAGAAGCATGTGTCATGAAGCAAAATGGCAGGATGGCAGCAATGAAAAGATGCTAACCCTGACCCTAACTTTACATTACCCTAACTCTGTTCTTTACAAAGTTCTGTTCTTTCCTTTTCTGCCATGCTTTCAGTGTAGCACCTGGGCCAGAGCTGTAAAGCTGCATGTCACTACTGAAATTACTACTGTTATTTGAAATCAATGAACATTTTTGCAATAATAAATCTGAATCTCTGCTGGCATCACTGGCCAAGCTCATCAAACTATCAAACTCTGTGCCTGTGTTGTGTAGGTCCTGATTCCATTCCATGAGGAAGGGGAGGGTGAAGAGAGTGTGTCGGTGTGCATGAACCTGCCAGAGTATCTGTCTGAGGATGACAGTCCGAGTGTTGAGAAGGAGAAGGTTCTGAGCCGGGTTGGTTCTGCCAGTGAGGGCAGCGGCTGGCTTGCCTCTGCCGCAAACTTCCTCTCTAGATCATTCTATTGGTGATCACTTCCTGTGCTGAACACTCCTGGGATCGCTATAGTCTGGTCAGAACTTTCTATTGGTGACCAGTTCATGCTCTCAACATTCCAATGATGACTCTTTGCTGTCCAGATGTGCTGCAGGGATCAGGGGCAGTTTACTGTTGCAGAGAGAACTCAGAACACACACACACACGTATACTTGTGAAAGTATTCAAACTTTGAAGCTTTGAAGTTTCATTTTTGTTGAAAAAAAGCTACAGACAAGTAACTAATTTTAGCTTGTAGACAAATTGTAAGAGCATGTGAGTTCATATCAAAAAAACTGATTAGAAAAATATGTGAGGCAGGAGAAAATGTTGATAATTTTCAAGGGGTTTGAATAGTTCAGCAAAGCACTGTATATGTGCAGGGCCTTTGTCACAGAATCTTTCCAGTCATGTGAATTGGTCTGTGTTAAAATGTACATTTCAAATTACACTCTTAACGTCTTAATGACCCTAGTGCAAATAATGAGCACATGATACCACTTTTTATAGGAATCCCTCAGATGCTGTACACAGGATAATCTTAGTCCTTTGTTACAACTGCAGTGAGAATAGGATCTCTCTGGATTTGTAATAGGTTTAAATTTATTTAATGGGCCTTTTAGGTAGACAGCGTGGATCAGCAGGGAGTGTGGGATTTATACATAACAGGCGGTAAGATTTTAAAAGTGGAACCAGTTAACAGGAGAGTTGTTGAGAGCCTTAATTCGACCACTTAAAGTTAATTGGTCTCAATGCCTAGTGAGCTACATAGGCAGCTAGGCAGCGTGGAATTGAAATGAAAGCTTATTGAGTGAGAAAGTAATTGTATCACTTATTTCTTCTTCCTCCTGCAAGCTTTTGGTGTTTATGCACCTCAGGCATTTGCATTGTTGCAGCATTTTCTGTTTTTAAATACTGCTAGCTAAGTAGCTAGGTAGCTCCTTAAGAACACACTCACTCTCCTGAGATGAACTACAATTCCAGCCATGTTATTTAATGCCTTTCGGCAGCTCATTAGGTTCAGTTGTAAAGTGGCAGGGCTCTTGAATATTGGCCTGCCAGAACTCATGTATAGCTTCCTTATCCTTTACAGCAACCTGCAGAAGTTTTTTCCCCATTTATCTTGACTTGAACTCTGGTGGGCACCCAGCCAGGAGGGCTCAGACAGACAATCAGGAGAACAACAAGATAGACTATGTTCACCATGACTCAGCAGCTTAAACGCAGCTCCCAGGAGTGGCTTAGGCACCTTTCTCTAAGACACTGTTTCAGTAGTAGTAGTAATGGGTTCTCTGATGCTTCCCAGAAACTGTCATGCTATGCTGATGCACACAGCATGCCCCAACCACAGCATTATCGCCTTTTGTGTTGCTTTATCTTGAAGCTCTTAACAGGGACAGTTGCCAGGCTCGATGGGGGCTTGTGCTGACTATACTTGGTGAAGTAGGGCTCCATTTTCATTGTCGTTTTCTGTGAGCTTGCATTGACTAGCACGCAACGTAGCAACACATTGCTTTGCACTGGACTAGGCTTATCCTGAGTCTCTTTGGCTTCCTCGATGTGGCCTTACTGCCAGTGCCCCTGGGATAGCAAGGGTGGAAAGTACCACCCTGATTGCTTTTGTTGCTGGCTTGGGTGTCCTGTGAGCGCTAGCTCCATCAAGAATTGCTTAGAATCATGTTTGGTTACCAGGCTTACCTGCGTCCCTTCTTTGAGGGTCGGTCAAGGCAGGCAGGATAGGCACTTGGATCTCTAATTGTTAGCCTTCTTGTTACTGTTTTAAGAGTACTTCCAGTTGCTCCATCCCACTTGTGACACCAGTGTAGCGAGCTAGTAGTAGTGGGAAAAGAATCCAGAGGACCAAAGCTCAACTGAGACATTAGCTTTTCTCTAACTCATCAGTCTTACCAGACCCATTTTAACAACAATCATGGGGAATCCTTTAAAGGAGCAAATTATACGATTTGTATTTCAAAACATTCCAAAATTATCAGCAGAATGTGATGAAATAACAGTTCTGATATTGTCTAAGACGTCTATGTATCGTGTTGCTGAGATATCTACTGAAGTTAGCATGCTAACCAGCTGGGCTGGCCTGTCCTTTTTCAGAATACCACTTTGTACCTCAAGAGGTGACAGTGAGTCACTGTAGCATCGAGTCTGCCATCAGTCCAACATAAGAGGATGGAGAAGTATTTAAGAATTGAGATTGAGATCGCATTTGATGGTTTAAAATGCTGCTGCACCACTCACAGGGTTTTGAGGTATGGTCTCTCTTTTAATCACTTTTTAATCACATCCTCAGACCACATTTTTATTTTGTAATTGCAGTTTAAATTAGTGCGATAGGAAATTTAACCTAATAACACTTGGCCTGTTAGACCAATCAGAAAAATACACCCATGTTCTGTATATGTGACATCACAACCAGCACAACTAAATGTTAGTCTGGCGCACTCGGATTTCAAGCTTTGTTTACTTACACCAACTTTGACCTGCGCACGAGTAGTGTGTAGTAGTGTGTCTAGTAGTGTGTTGCATGTCCTTTGGCCTTTAGAAAAGCCTGAATTTGTCTTGACATTGCAATTTTTGTGTGTGGAAGGGGGTTAACTCAATAAACTGGGAAAACAGTATAAATTTGACTGTCGATAATACACACTTGCACACTGTTTGTTGCCAAATCACCACAATAACCACGTCCTACACACCCCTCAAAGGGATTTTTTTCATTTTGTATCTGTAAAAACTTTCCAGCACTCAATTTAGTCAGAAAAACAAGTTCTCAATATCTTTCAAATTTCCTGTTGATTTTTCCAGTTTTTCTATCCTTCTCACAATGTCTATCATGTGTTTAGATATTAAAATATTCCTGCATTGTATTTGTTATGTAAAACGTCTGCCACTAAAGCATAACAGCTGCTCACAGACACACAACATACTTTTTAAAAGTTGTGGTATGTATGTGTTATTTATACACTTTATTTATGGGCATTAAAATTTAGTAATGGTATTGTGATTACAGTTTTGGTGAATGTGTTGTGTCTAGTCATCTTTTATCTAAGGCATGCCTCAGTGCCTCTGTGGGGACAGTGAGCACCTCAAATCCATCAATTACAGGGCTTGTTTTGTAATGTTCAATCATTAAGCAGTACTGTGCAAAAGTCTTGTAAGGCCAAGAAAATTGCTTAAAAATGATTATCTCAGTGGTAAGTGTACAAACTACATTCCAAAAAAGTTGGGACAGTATGTGAAATGCATATAAAAACAGAAAGCAGTGAATTTTGTTTGAAATGTATTAAATGGACAGTGGTACAAAAACAGAATATTAGATGTTGTACTTTATGAACTTTTATTTTTAGTGATTTTGTGAATATATGTTCATTCAGAATTTGATGCATGCAACACATTCCAAAAGAGTTGGAACAGGACTAATCCAGTTTTGAAAGTGTATTTTTTTTTGGGAGGTCTTCAGCCGTACGTATTTTGAGCTTATTAAGAGCTTAATAAGATTTCAGTGGGAGAAAGGATGGACTGCAGGCAGGCCAGTCTAGCACCCACACTGTCTGATTGCCCAGCCTTGGCCCACCCCGCCATGACTAAAGCTGGGTTTTGAAATCTACAGTGGTAATGATCTCTGCTTTTCTTTTTTGACCCAGAGACCACAACAACCTTTTTTTCCATAAAGAATTTGAAAGGTCAACACATCAGACCACAAAACAAGTTTCCACAGTTCATCAGTCTGTTTCAGATGAACTTCAGAACTGTTTTCTGTTTTTATTTACATTTTACCTACTGTCCCAACCTTTTTGGAATTGGGTTAATATTTTGCCTGTAAAAACTATATATGATTTTATAATTGATGCAAATAAACATAAATACAAGGGATAACAAGGATTCCTTGTTTATAGCATTTCAAGTTACTGATATCTTGGCTAGAAGAATACAATTAAAAGAACACAAGTTCCTGACTTTTTACTGCACTCCAGCCATTGCATGGACATTTTAAATTCCATCACCAGGACACCTGGTTCCATTTTCACAAAGCTGATCTAGTAATTGTAGGGGTGCTGATCTTGTATCCCTCCCTGTCTATAAAGTCATTGTAAAAAAGAGTGGAATCTGATCCTAGATCCTGCTCTGAGAAGCTTTGTGAATACAGCCCTGATTTAATTTACTGTAAGATTAATTAGCCAAACTAGATATTAGATGGTAACACTAGGCTTCTTCAAGAAGAGGTTTAGAAATAGTTAATCTAACACACGGACAGACATAAAATCAGAATGTATTGTTTGTTTATATTTATTCTAATATTTGTGTTTTTTAAACAAACAAAGGCATACTCCCCAGTTAAATGCTTGGCATCTCATGTTCTCAAGTGGCCTTTTGCACAGTACAGTATACTTCAAAAATAACAAGATCCTGCAAGAGCCAAAAACAACAGCTGACTGCCTGCGCATTTGTAGCTTTATAGCAGTTTTGTATGTAACCATAAGTAAAAGAACTAGAGGAAGTAAAAGAGGTTTATCATTAAGCATGACATACTAAAGTAAAATTTTGTAGAGGAACTTTGTTATATTTTTGCTTGGCAGCTGTGTGACTACACACATTCTTTATTTACCAGTGGATTTGAGATCAGTGAACTTACGCTCAAATAACACACGTTTAGAGGATAAAGAATCCGAGAGCATGCTGAGTGACTGGTGTTGGTGACAGATGGAATCAGACATGTTTTGTAGTGTCTGTGTAGGTATTATGCTGTTAGCAAAAATAAAATAATAAAATAAAAAGAAGCATTCAGCTTGCTGGTTATGCCCCAAGTGGGGAAAGCCCCCTTCCCTTGTGGAGATCTGTGCAGTAGCCAGAACAACCCAAAAATAAAACATTTTTTTGTTTGTAACTGAGCCAAACGCTACAAACTGTTTATGAGGTTTTTTCTGGTTCAGCAGCACAGTTCATGGAAAAAAGAAACCCCGACCAGTCTCACGAGTCTGCACCAGTTTGGAATGGCACAGTCTGGTCCTGAAAACCATTTGGCTCTACAGTGGGAAAGAGGCCTTACTGACTCAGATTTATTTACAGTGGTGGTGATGGGAACCAGGGATCACGATTTCTACAATGCAAAAATATCCATTTTATTTACTATCCAAGTAAACCTGCTTGTGTCTTCTAAGTTTTATATGTAATGTTGTGTGATGTCTACATTGCAAATTTCATTTAATTTACTATCCAAAATGACCAGTGAACCTACATGTGTCTTCTGAGGTTTTAAATGTAATGCTGTCAATGGTAAAAATGGTGTTAAATCTGAATAAAATACATTTTCTTTGTGGAGTGTTTGACCTTATAATGCCCTGCATGTACTTTTCCACTATATATATCTTTTTAAAAGTTTTGTGCTGAGATCCTGTTGAAAAACTTGTCTTAAGTTCTATTCGGATGGAATTAGTTTTACATAGAGAGGTGGGGTAATTGAATTTTTACTAGTGTTTCTCAGTGACTTTAGTCCTGTCCGAATGTGTCACTTCTTTCACCGAGTCAGTAAAGATTCTGCCCCCTTTTATCTTCTAAAATAAGCAGTAGAAATGACCTCAGGTAAAATTTATTCCTTGTGAATAAACATGCTATCATATTCTGTGGAAAAGGAGTTTCTTAAGCATGGAGGCTTGAGGAAGCATTTACTTGTGTTCTCTGTGGCTAAATTCAAGCCAATATGTACTGTCCTACCTCGAGCATACAACTCAGAAGATTAAAACCTAAAAAACTACAGAAAAATATTTGATTTTATATGATGATGTTGTATGTTGGTTCCCAAGCTTATGACCACACTAATAACACGGTGCATTCACATAAGACAGCTGGATAGGGTAAACGAAAGTATCTAAATGAAATGTTTTGACGTTTTCTGTTCTTTCCTAGATTAAAGGGTGTGTGTAAATTGAGTAGCCACTCCCATCTCCCATCATACCACGATTTCTTATCCTGTGTGAGTCGGCCATGAACATAAACGGCCTGTGGTAAACTTTTATTACCCTTCCTTTCATGAAGGATCATCTGAATAGTGCTGTAGGCATCAGGCAGTGTATTCATAACCAATTTATGTAAAAACTTTCTGTAAGGGAGATTTTAGCAGCAATAAATGCATCAGATGTCTGGTTCCTATTACCACCACTGTAAACAACTTTGACTCTGTACAATTTTTGGGTTTTTTTTCATCAAACCCTTCTGAATGAGTTTGTTCAAGTCAAAGGAAGTTTGCTTTAAAGCTGGACCTGAGCTCTGCAGGGCGCTAGATCTCCTGTAGCCGAGTTGGACATACCTCCTGTGTAATAAAATGTATGATGGGTGTTGTCTCTCCTCTTTTCAGGCTTGCCACGAAGTGCTGAAGAGGGGTGACCAGTTTCTAAAACATCCAGTGGGGCATTATGTCCTGTCTGTTCAATTTCTGATTGCAGACTATGAGTATGTTCAGAGGTCTCTGATCCTGACAAATAGCAGAGCACTATATAATTAGAGAGAGTGAGAGGGAGAGAGGACGAAGATATGGGTGGGTCTGGACTGCAGTCAAAAGAAACCAAACAGAGAAGGCTTTATGTGACTAAACAACAGCCTTGAACACACGCGCACTAGTGAAGCCTGGGGCAAATTGTAATGAGAGAGACAGAAGCACACCCGAGCTAAGGATGTGTGCGAGGGAGGAAGGAACACACTCGCACGTGTCTGTCTTCATGACGGAGATTTGCGACTTGGTCTATATTTTATGGTCATTAAATGAAGGAGAATTAGTAGTCCACAGACTAGGCAGTACCGAAACAAATGCATACTCCTGCATACGCTGAAGGCAGGTGTTAATTCTTACTACGATATCTGCAACATTCGTCAGTTGCTTCTGCATTGGAAGCTGTGGTTAAATAAAAAAGACACTTACAGCCTACAGTGCTCATGCGCCACACCCCTAAAATGCACCGCCCCCAAAACGCTGAACTCGGTCGATTCAGTTTGTCCAGATTTCAATTAGACACGCCTTCGCTGATTTTCCCTTTAGGTTTTAGTAGACAAGACCCCTGCTGACCGCTTTCCGTCGTCCGCTCTGTCAGAACGATCTCAAGGCAGAAGCTGAATATCAGTGCAGCTGAACGGGAAACAGTCTGATGTGAAGAGTTCGTGGGAAGGTGACCACCGTCCGAAGCTTTGAATCGATTAAACCGAAGGAGCTGACATGTTGGCGACTTTGTTAACGGTGTTTCTCGGCATCGCTTCCTTTTTCGTGCTCCACAGGCTGTTCGGGAGAAGGAGGTGAGTGAGTTTATGCGTCTTTTAATTTCATTTCAATAAATCAAAACTTAATTTCTGGGAACAGCCATGCAGTAGCAGTCAAAGTGCCGTATAGGAGGTAATAGGGCTGTTGATTTTCCCTGCTGAAAAAGGGCTATTAGAAACCATTAGGATCAGAACCTTATGGTTTTGCTTTCTAATGGGAATTGGCTTAATTGTTTGCAATAGACCCACCAGTTTCCTGTAGAATACGTTTAGATCCCATTAGGAAACCACCAAATGCATTTAGAATCAGCCAATGCTCACCTGTTAAACTGTTAGGATCCTTTACCGTGTGATATCAAATGTTTAAAAAGCCAAAACACATTACGAAACCATTAGGAACCAGCAGAAGCACTAAATGGTTTCCATGTCAGCAGGGTATTGACGACGGTTACAGTATAAATGATTGTTGAGTTCTAAATATTTTTGTCCTGTTTTTACAGTTTAGGGGTCTTTTATACTGCCTGATCATATACCTACAGAAAGCGTGAGCAGTAGTGAAACCATTTTAACTGCTTTCAAATTCGGGTTCAGGTTGTCAGAGTGGGCTGTGCAGTTAATTTTCTGCCTTCATAAGCAAGAAAAACGTCTCTAGTCGTGTGTTTTTCCGATAGTGTGGCGATGAATACAGACTGGCACTCTTCTGACTTTAATTTCCCAAATCACACTGTTTTAAGTCATATTAAGAAGAGCATGAAAATGTTTGCATCAGTTTCTACGGGCAGATGAGTCTTTTATTGCACACCTTGCACAATTAATTGTTATAAAGAAAACGATGTTATGACTTGCTGCAATGAAATGAGAGGTTAAAAGCGATGATGGTTAATGATAAAATTCCTGACTGACAGTAGATCAAAAGGCCCCGTTCGTGATGGAACACATGAACTAACCAATGATCTATCAAAGCCCTACCCGTAGTGTTGTTGTGTAGCCTCTGCCGAAAAAGCACACATCAGCCAGACAACCATGCATTTTAGTGCTGGTCTAAGCTGGTTGATTTATGCTGTTCTGGTGCCGTTAAGCTGGTCACCCAGCATAGTCATGCTGCTTGATCCGCAGAGCAACATCCAAAACACAGCATATTGTCGCTTTTCTGCAAAATTTTCGAAATTCATTTTTGTCATTTTGAACTTTTGTATTGAAAATTCCAGTTATCCTTTACATTGTGTTAAAATTTCAAAGATTGGATCAACGGAAATAGTCCAAAAAGAAAAAAAAATCTTCTTACATTAACTTCCATCACAAGTTAAGAAAGTTTTTAAGAGATTTTCTGGATTGCTGGTTTTGCTGGTAACCTACAGAGCCGTGCTGGTGACATCCTGTATAAATAAAAATAATGCATGGCCACAACTTAGTAAGGCATGGGAACAAGATCGCAATGCGTGGCCATGACTTAGTAAGGCAAGGTCTCGTTCCCACACCTTACTAAGTCGTGGCCACGACTTAATTATCTCATTCCCACACCTTACTAAGTCGTGGCCATGCATTAGGATCCCGTTCCCATGCCTTACTAAGTTGTGGCCACTCATTATTTTATTTATACAGGATGTCACCAACAGGGCTCCGTAGTAACCAGCTGTGCTGCTCTATATTGTTCTTTCTAGCAGGGTCCATTGTTGCGAGGTTGGTCATGCTTTACAGAGCACAGGCAAAACTCAACCTACTACAAATTCTCAAAAATCCAGTTTCTGTTAAAACATACACACAAAGGAATTGTATTTTATATGCTTATAAATGTCACGTTGTTAGATATACTTGTTAGGGTGTCATTTTTTTCGGGGCACTAAAGCTTTGTGGCGCTGTGCTTTGTGGCTTTTGTCAGCCAGTGGCAAGAAGTGTTGCTTAGATGTTGCTGCATGCTGTAAATGAGCAAAATGGCATTCTCATCGTGCACATGGCTGCATTTTATATGCGCAGCATCTCCTGGACGGCTTCTCTGGCAAGCTAAAGATTCTCCACAAGGGTGAGGCTATTAGCGCTCAAGTAGCTTTTGATGCTTCATAAGAGTGGTGCTTTGCGTCAGTGATACTGTGTCCTAATTGAAGTCATATTCATTACACATTAGCAGTAAAATGCAAGAAAAACATTTTGTAATGGCTTTTTCTTTGGTATTAAAATGAGTAGATATAAACAGTGATTTAAGAGATTAGCAACATGTGTAGTCCTTTTACCCAAAGTGTCCCAGGCGACCTTAAAAAACAGATGTTTTTCATATAAACTTTTGGGTAGTAATGCAAAAAATAAAGCGTGTTAAATATGTACTGGGTCTAAGGTCAAGATTGATCTAAACAGTCTGATCGTGAACTCAGGGTCACATAGTGAGTCAGCCAGGCTAATAATTAATTGATGTTATGTAAGAATTCTTTCATCTCTCCCAAGACACAAAACAGACAAACAACAAACTATTTGTTGCTATTGAAATTATAAGTATTAGTGCAGTTTAGGGGTCTTTTATACTGCCTGATCATATACCTACAGAAAGCATGAGTGGTAGTGAAACCATTTTAACTGTTTTCAAATTTGGGTTCAGGTTGTCAAAGTGGGCTGTGCGGTTAATTTTCTGCCTTCATAAGCAAGAAAAACGTCTCTAGTCGTGTGTTTTTCCGATAGTGTGGCGATGAATACAGACTGCCACTCTTCTGACTTTAATTTCCCAAATCACACTGTTTTAAGTCATATTAAGAAGAGCATGAAAATGTTTGCATCAGTTTCTACGGGCTGATGAGTCTTTTATTGCACACCTTGCACAATTAATTGTTATAAAGAAAATGATGTTATGACTTGCTGCAATGAAATGAGAGGTTAAAAGCGATGATGGTTAATGATAAAATTCCTGACTGACAGTAGATCAAATGGTCCCGTTCGTGATGGAGCACATGAACTAACCAATGATTTATCAAAGCCCCACCCGTAGTGTTGTTGTGTAGCCTCTGCCGAAAAAGCACACATCAACCAGACAACCATGCATTTTAGTGCTGGTCTAAGCTGGTTGATTTATGCTGATCTGGTGCTGTTAAGCAGGTCACCCAGCATAGTCATGCTGCTTGATCCGCAGAGCAACATCCAAAACACAGCATATTGTCGCTGTTCTGCAAAATTTTTCGAAATTCATTTTTGTCATTTTGAACTTTTGTACATATTGAAAATTCCAGTTATCCTTTACATTGTGTTAAAATTTCAAAGATTGGATCAACGAAAATAGTCCAAAAAGAAAAAATCTTCTTACATTAACTTCCATCACAAGTTAAGAAAGTATTTAAGAGATTTTCTGGTGTGCTGTTTTTGCTGGTAACCTACAGAGCCGTGCTGGTGACATCCTGTATAAATAAAAATAATGCATGGCCACAACTTAGTAAGGCATGGGAACAAGATCGTAATGCGTGGCCATGACTTAGTAAGGCATGGGAAAGAGATCGCAGTGCGTGGCCACGACTTAGTAAGGCATGGGAACGAGATCGTAATGCGTGGCCACGACTTAGTAAGGCAAGGTCTCGTTCCCACACCTTACTAAGTCGTGGCCACAACTTAATTATCTCATTCCCACACCTTACTAAGTCGTGGCCATGCATTAGGATCCCGTTCCCATGCCTTACTAAGTTGTGGCCACTCATTATTTTATTTATACAGGATGTCACCAACAGGGCTCCGTAGTAACCAGCTGTGCTGCTCTATATTGTTCTTTCTAGCAGGGTCCATTGTTGCGAGGTTGGTCATGCTTTACAGAGCACAGGCAAAACTCAACCTACTACAAATTCTCAAAAATCCAGTTTCTGTTAAAACATACACACAAAGGAATTGTATTTTATATGCTTATAAATGTCACGTTGTTAGATATACTTGTTAGGGTGTCATTTTTTTCGGGGCACTAAAGCTTTATGGTGCTGTGCTTTGTGGCTTTTGTCAGCCAGTGGCAAGAAGTGTTGCTTAGATGTTGCTGCATGCTGTAAATGAGCAAAATGGCATTCTCATCGTGGACATGGCTGCATTTTATATGCGCAGCATCTCCTGGACGGCTTGTCTGGCAAGCTAAAGATTCTCCACGAGGGTGAGGCTATTAGCGCTCAAGTAGCTTTTGATGCTTCATAAGAGTGGTGCTTTGCGTCAGTGATACTGTGTCCTAATTGAAGTCATATTCATTACACATTAGCAGTAAAATGCAAGAAAAGCATTTTGTAATTGCTTTTTCTTTGGTATTAAAATGAGTAGATATAAACAGTGATTTAAGAGATTTGCATTACTGTATAAAGTATTTTATTCTGCACCACAGTCCTTCCAGATCTGCTTCCACAGGTGGGACCTGCCTGCTGCACTTCATCACAGTGGCCAGAGGGGGCCGCCATTTCTTCCAAAGATGAACTGTAAAGCAATCCGTCAAACTTCATTAAAATGTAAAATGCATAAAATGGAACTTTTCTGCCTCTTAAGACAGGTCCAGGAAAAAATTAGAATGTGAAAACTTTGTGAAATTATTTATTTGTTTGTTTGTTTGTTTGTTTGTTTGTTTGTTTTTTTCAACATGTCTGAACTATGAACACAAGTCTATCACATTTAAACTACCACCACATAGTAATAAAGATTAAATTTAATGGAGACGTTTACTGTAATACAGCGTTCAGTTCTCTACACATCTCTTCCTGCACTCTTCCTGCACTGTTCTGTCAGTGGTAACACATAAGCCCTAGGTGGATTATGATTATGGAGTATGAGTGGTTCATGTGTTTACACTCTGTATGAGCTTCATTTACTTAGTCGTTAAACATAAACCCCTCGTGTCCTCTTGAACCAGACATGGTGGCCTTGTTGTGGTGCCATGGTTGTGGTGACCCAATTCTATCGGCCCAGTCCCAGAACTTTTATTTGGACAGTTTCACTTGAGTAATCTGAGCACACTCTGTCCCCCCAAACTGAGAACTCGCAGAATCGCTGAGTTTATGAGATTAAGAATAACAAAAACACAGACTCACACATTCAGTACACGCACGTACACACGTCTTCACTCTGCATGTACACATGAACTATGTATGCTGTGTTTATTTGACTTATGACTTTATTTGTATTGCTTGAGGGTGAGAGCCCATGCTTGTGTGTGTAAGATCCCTTACGCCCACTCACTCCCACACACCCACCCCAGTGTTCTTGTATAGCCACTGTTGTGCGGTTGGACAAGTTTTACAGAGCACTGGCAAAACCCCCATTTAAGCTCATGAGAAATTAAAAAAAAGTCATGAGAAAAGTTTCTGTCAACACACTTATATTTAGAGTGTTTTTTATTTGAGATTATTTTAATTTTGTACACTTGTGAAAGGTCATGTTGTTAGGATATATAAGGTGTAGTTTTTTGTCATGTAATCAAGATTTTTAAGGGTTGATAGTTTCTAAGTTGTTTTAGCTGTGCCAGGTAGCTGAGTTAAACTTGGCATAGTGTAAGAGATTGGAAAGTATTTGTGACATGACACAAAATAAATTAAATTAGTGATGAACCAAAATGTGTTGTTAATTAACAATATTTTAAAAAAAGTGTATGGCAATGCAAGAGTGTGCTTGTTTGTTTTGTAGGAGAGAGGGGGAGCCTCCTCTCATAAAAGGATGGATCCCATTTCTGGGAAAAACTTTGGAATTCAGGAAAGATTCCCATCAGTTTCTACAGCGACTACAGCAGAAGCATGGAGACATCTTTACTGTTCTCATTGCAGGTACAATACACAGTCACATACATACGTACAAACAGATGGATGTACAGTATAAAACCTGACTCTCAGTCCAGAAGGAGTGATCATAAACCAGCTGGAATTCATTAGAACAGGAAGTGCTGGTCAGAGAAAAACGTCCCTCTGTGTAAAATAACTGAGTTATTTTAGCCCAGTGTCGGGGGGGAGTGGGGTTAGCAGTATTGCACCATTAAGACATGCAATTCTAGTTGTTAGCCTGTGTGTGTAGGAGGAGGGGTGGGCGTCCAGAGCTGAGAACAAAGTGAAGGAGGAATGGGAGATGATGAAATAGAGGAGATGGAGAATAAAAACGAACATTTGTTTTTAAGAAAATGTGTGTGTACTTAACACAGTCATTCTTGCTCAACGGTGAAACTGTACTGCTGAGATCAGTCCAACGCAGGCTTGCAAAGAGTTTTTACCAAGATTAGCACATTTCACGTCAGTGGTGACAACATGGAATAGTCCATTACAACCAAGGTGAGAGGTTGGGGTGTATGGAGTTAATATTGTGCCGGAGGTTTTGGATAAAATACTACAATCCACAAGCAAAATATGAATTATTAAAATTTGTTGCAAATGCAAATCAAATTTGACTTGGGAAAGTTTGTCGGTTTGAAAAATGCTTAAAGCACTATAGTGGTCATTATTTTATTTTTGCTCCATAATAACAGAGTGCAGAACACATGTTATTTTGGTTGAGATAAAAAAAATAAAAATATGTACTGGAAACTAATGAAATACATATATACAGTGTGTGACATACACCCTGGTATTCAGGGGGTCCAATGTTTTCTGGCTGCTAACTCAATAGCCATTGCAGCACTGATACTAGCTTGAATGGCAGCAAAATTTTGGTTGAACCATTCTTTTTTTTTGGAAATGCTCTTTTCTAGTTTGATAATGCAGTCTTCCACACATCAACTAAGATCTTACACATCTCTTTCTCATCATTCTGGGCACATCTAAAATTTCTTAAGTATTTACAGCTTCCTGCAAATCAGCAGAAACCTTAAATGTAAATCTGCAGCATTATAATAGAATATATAAAGTGTGTGTGTTTGTTATGTTGTAGGTAAATACATGACATTTGTGATGAACCCTCTCCTGTACCCAGCCGTGATTAAACATGGGAGGCAGCTGGACTTTCATGAGTTTTCTGACGCAGCAGCATCTGCAACATTCGGCTATCCAGCTGTCCGCTCCGGAAAATGCCCTGGCATGAGCGACAAAATCCAGAAATTGTACCTGCTCCTACAGGGCCCTGCTCTCAACTCCCTCACACAGACAATGATGGGTAACCTACAGGTCATCTTACGACATCGCTTAGCCTCCACCCAGGTTGCAAAGCCAGAGTGTGATTGGTGGGAGGAGGGCCTGTATCAGTTTTGTGAACATGTAATGTTTGAGGCAACATTTCTGACACTGTTCGGACGACCCCCACAGGCAAACAAAGATCCAAAGATATACTTAGAAAGGATCAGATGGATAGATACACTACGTGAAAACTTCAGGAAGTTTGATGCCATGTTTCCACTGCTGATTGCTGGCACACCCATTGGCCTGCTGAGGAAAACCAAATCCATTCGGGAGAAGCTGATCAAGTTTTTTCATCCTGACAGAATGAAAGAATGGACCAGTCCATCAGAGTTCATTCAGTCACGTACTGAATTGTTCCAACAGTATGACATACTCAAAGACATGGACAGAGCAGGTAATCTGTACAGACCTTCCTACTATATACAAGCACACATATAAATTGTTGCAATAGTTTAACACACTTGAAGCTTTTGAGTAGGTAAGACATAAAGGTGGCCCACTGAAAGACAAAGTGTAGACAGAAACTTTACAAAGGGGGTATCCTAATAAACGAAATGGGAATTTAAACAGGATCCATGCTGTTGGCTAAATGGTTCCCAATTTCTTTATTATCGATTTTATATCTGAGGAACTTAGCAAGCTGCATGGGGCCTTTTGAGGGACAGACTCTTTGGATGGTCATATAGATGGAAACCTTCACACAGAGCTATCTCTCTGTTTTATTCCAAACTTAAAATGTCCTGTTACTAGAAACACTTGTGGAACTCAAAGCATCTGGTACTAAGATTAGGTTTCAGTGTTCTCAAATTGTTTAAATTACCCTAAAAATCATAAATTAAAACAAGAAATCACCTATGATGAATAAGAAATTGTTACATATATTTATGCATTATCGTTCTGCCCAAGAAACTGCTAAAAATGGCATCCCTGAACCCTGCAAATTGCAAACCCCACCCCTTTCCCCCAAAGTCCTGCACACTGTCTCTATGTTTCAACAAGACAGCAGGAACAAAACTCCCATTGTAACTTCAATAATCAGAAAGATTCTGTCTTTATGTCACTCTGGCAACAGGCTGTGGATTTTACTCACTCAGATTTGAGTCTTCATTCTCTAAACTTGAGAGTCTTTAGTGAAGTAGAATGTAATGTTTAGACCTTCTTGCTAATCTGACGCTTGTGGCTGGTGGCAACATCTAGCGGTGTGGCTGCCGGACCATTCCTCACATTGAGGAATGGCCGTTGTTGTTGCCGTGGGATATTAGGGGCAACAAGTTCTCTCTCCCTCTTGGCTCAGGTGCTCATGCTGCCCTTAATGGTGGTTTAGCATTGGCAGCGTGAGCTCATCCTGCTTCTCGCTGATCTCTTTGGCACTGAGGCTCGGGCCCTGACCTCATGCTGCCTCTCCCAGCTCTCATTGCTGCCTGGTACCTCCTCTCATTAGCATATTTTAGTATATTTGACCATGATCGATTCAAGCTAATTTGTGATGTACAGATCTAAGCTGCTATGCAGCACCCCTCAAATTGCTTTTTTCAAGTGTACTGAGAAAGCCTGAAAAGTTTTTTTTTTTTGTGGAAAAATGTGAAGATGTGAATGTTAAAACAACTGTTACAAAAATATTAGTTTGTACTCATAAGCCATCCAAGATGAGCTAATAATTTACCAAAAATGCACATTTTGAGTGTAATATACAGTCAGACATGATAAATATCTAAATAAAAAAAAAAAGGTCATGAATGTGAAGGTAAGAAATATCTTTGTGGTTAATTGTCTCACACTGAAAATACAAAAACAATCTACAATCTAAGTAAATTTAGTCCAAGAAAACAAACTATTATCATAGTCATTGGCAGTCCTATGTTTAGTACTTTGTGCAACCTCCATTTGCTAACACAAAAGCAGTTAGTCTTTTTCTATGATGCTTGATGAAAATGGAGAATATAGAGCAAAATACTGAATCCCCTCCTCATTACAGAATGTCTCCTGATCCTCCACAGTCATAGGTTCTCTCTTTTGAATTCCCCTCTTCAAGGGAGATTCACTGCAGCTCTCATTGTTTGAAACTTCTTAGCTATAGTGTAATTATTTTCTTATAGTCATCACCTCATTAATGAAAGTCGAAACACTTTTGTGTTAGTTTTATGTGTACATTCTCTAATTGTAAATCTATTTTAATTAATGATTAATGACTAAGGGAATATGGCCTCTGTTTTTATGAGTTTTGTTTTCTGAGACTAAATTCAATTAAAGGTTAGGGTTTTCTCATATTCTGCGTGAGACTAAGCTAATCAACCACATAAACATTTTTTTCGTGACCCTTTTTTTTTAATCCATCTTTACTATTATTATGGAGCAGACTGAACACGCCAGTCAATACACACACTGGTTCTATATTTTTCGTTCTATATATTTTTCTATATTCTCTTTCTCTCTAGCTCATCACTTTGCCATACTGTGGGCATCGGTGGGAAACACTATTCCAGCATGCTTCTGGTGTGTGTACCACCTTCTATCAGACCCACAAGCCCTCACAGTTGTGTTGAAGGAGATCATGGAAGTGATTGGAGAGCATGACATGGAGTATATCCGTAATCATAATATCACACTGACCAGAGAGCAGCTTAACAGAATGGTTTACCTTGGTAAATCACACTGACATGCACTGTACACACTCATATACATGCATCTTTTTCATTCTTGGTGCAAGAGAAATTGTGAAAAAAGATGACAAAGGGGCATGTAGAGCATTCCTTTTTTCATTTATCTTTCCTCATGTATCTCATTCTCTCTCTCTCTCTCTCTCTCTCTCTCTCTCGTCTGTAGAAAGTGCTGTTAATGAGAGTCTCCGTCTGTCCTCTGTTTCAATGAATATACGAGTGGTTCAGGAGGATTTCTGTCTGCATCTGGACCCCCAGTGCTCTGTGTGTGTGCGTAAAGGGGACATTGTTGCTCTACACCCCCGGAGCACACACCTGGACCCTGACATCTACCCACACCCACAGGTAGCTGTAGAGACAAACCACTGTAGCTATGGAAACAACAAATGAGTATAACTACCAAAACAGCTGTCTGATTGACTGACTCAGAAGTAGCCTGTTCAAACTGTCATATAAACCTCTCACTTTGTTTTGCTCCATGTATTGTAATACCCAAGTGCTAGAACATTTCCCCTGCCACATTTAATTAGAATCAGGTTTTATTGGTATTTGCACATACAAGGATCTTGTCTTTGGTTACTAGGTGTGGAAAATACTTGTGCTTTAGTATTATTTTGGAAGAATACAACTTTATTTGAATATGATTAAAAAGAGTACTCTTATTCAGTTTAATTATACTTTTACTCAATTACATGTATTCCATTATGAAAAAATACATACTTTTTACTAAATACATCTTAATTTTGAATTATTACATTTTCATTTGTAAGTACAAACCCAGTTCCAAAAAAGCAGGTAAAATGCAAAAATAAATAGAAAGCACACACAAACATCTTCTAAGCCGCTTATCCCTCTGGGTCACGGGGGGAGCTGGAGCCTATCCCAACAGTCATTGGGTGGAAGGCAGGATACACCCTGGACAGGTCACCAGTCCATCGCAGGGCTAAACAGAAAGCAGTGATTTATAAATCTACTTCAATCTGTAGTATAACAAAAACAATACAAAGACAGTATATTTAAGGTTTAACCTTATCAACTTTGTTTTTTTTTGTTTTGTTTTTTGTTTTTTTTTAATATTCTGAAATTGATGCCTGCAACACGTTCCAAAAAAGTTGGGACAGGGCAATTTAGGACTAGAATCATTGTGATGTTAAAAAAGCATCTTAAACAGTTGGAGCAATCATGCTTGAATATAAAAAGAGCATCCAGGAAAGATCTAGTTTTTATAAGCAAGGATGGTTCTAAGCTCGCCACTTGCATCAGCAAGAAATAAAAAATAATATCCTCCGTAAGCATGTGTGATAGTTTTATGGAATTTCACCCTCTATAGCAGGCATGTTGAACTGGGGACCTTCTGGGCCAAAGTGCTGCAGAGATTAGCGTTTACCCTCATCTAAAGCTTTGAATTCAGTGGGTGACTTGCACATCTGTGAAGGCAGCATATATTGCTCAAAATGTGTTCAGCATTAATGATGCTTTCACAGATGCCTTCTAGATGATGTCTTTTTTCAGAAATGTCCCTGTTTATTTTAACATAACAAACCCAAAAAAACATTCTGCATGTGTTTCAACGGCATGGCTACGTAATCAGAGAGTGCAGGTCCTAGACTTGCCTTCCACAAGTCTTCGCCTGTCTCAATGAAGGACCCACTTGGTTGCACAGCCGAAGACTTGTATTCCCACATGATTATTAAGTTTTGTTAAAAGGAAAAGTGATGTAACACAGTGGTAAACTTGCTCCTGACCCAACTTCTTTGGAACATGTTGCAGTAAAATATAGAATATTCTATTTTCAATTTAACAGGTCAAACAGAATTTACAAATCATTGCTTTCTGTTTTTATTAGCATTTTACCAATGAATGTGAAGGAATTAATGTGATTATATGTTTTATGTGTTTTTATGGTCTTGCAGCAGTACCAGTTTGACCGGTTCGTGAAAGATGGGAAGGAGAAGACTGACTTCTATAAAGATGATCAGAAGGTCCGGTACTATCGCATGCCATTTGGATCAGGGGCCACGATGTGTCCTGGGCGATTCTTTGCTGTTAACGAGATGAAGCAATTTGTGTGTATCACTCTGCTGCTGTGTGACATGCAGCTAGTTGTTGGCCACCAGAAAGCGACGCTGGACAGCAGCCGAGCAGGCCTGGGTATCCTACCACCTGCCAACCACATCACCTTCAGATACAGATTGAAACATCCACTTAAGGAGAGGGAAGAGGGAGACAGAAATGAATGATGGAGAACTAAGTGAGTGAGAATGAGAACTGTTTCAGTTCTCCTCTCAGAAACTATAACAAAATGCCTAAAAAAGGATAGATGTGACCAAAGATTAAAATTATATTGTGCTAATGAGAATTTGAGAAGCAAGAATGGTTTCTGTTGATGTTCATTAACATTCTGAAATGAAGTGTAACATAAATTTTTCATTAACATGTGAATGCACTGTACAGTAATAATACAAATCAATGCAAATATTGTGAATTACAAAATTCTTTTTTATGTATCCTTATTTCCTTGTATGTCTTTACCTGGTATGACAGAATTATGTCATTGTATATATAAAAAGAAAGAAATGCAGAATAAATCTTACAAACCTGATCAAACGCCTGGAACTATGTGAATAGAAAATTATGCACTTGGATCCAGACTAAATGAGTAAGACTTACAGGATCATGTGTTTCTAGCGTCTGAATCATGCTTTGTCATTGCCGCTAAGTTAATGTGTTGGATGAGGAGAGGATATTACTGCGCTGTGACTCATACTGAGCAACACTGTGAAGCATCAAGACCCAAGAGCTTCAGAGGAAGTTCAGATGTGAACTGAAAAGCGCGCATGGCAGTCCGGATTGGCTCTAACTGGGTAACGTTACATAGACTATAAAATAACAAAATTTGTTTGTGAACATTGACTGATACAACAGGCCCTGGACGAAAAGACGCAGTCCTTGTAGCGTTTGGTGAATTTTCTATCCATTCTCTGTAGGGGGCGACACGCACAATCCTTTTGGTAGCTTTCAGTACAAAACGAAGAAGTTCAGCAGTATTTTCATGCGAGAGCCTGTGGCATTGTGTTTACATATTTTAACAGCAGGCGAAGCTAATAACCGCTAGATTGGTGAGTAATTATAGCTGTTTTGTAATGGAAGAAGTTAAGATAGTGAATCAAAGAAAAGACTTTTGTCAGTTTGCGCGCTAATACTAGGAAGCGCGCCTGATTTCCGGTGGTGAGGTGACGTGTATTTGCACACGAGCCGAAGACAAAGCGAGTTGTGTACTGTGTGCAGCGCTGCTGGAAAAAGGGCGCTTTGATTCGATCGTGCTGAGCGTCGCTCGCTCCGGTAAGCAGCTGGTGATCGTAACGTCCGAGCTCTGCTCTTCACACGTGTGTTATTATTATGAAAAGTGAACAGCGCCTGATTTCACCGACCAGGCCGCGTCCTGTGAGACACAGGCACGCTGTGCTGCTTTGCCAACTCTTCGTGCTTTTTAACACTCGTCGTTTCACTTTAAGTTTGAGGAGCAGGAGAGGATGTTTAATTGATGTTGGGTAGATAAAATTCCGTGAGAAGAACTAAACTAAACGGCCCTTCGGAACGGGGTCTTGTCGCTTACGTTGATAACGAAGTGACACGTTACACTAGAGATGCTCAACACATGGTGGGTACGACACAACCTACTAATAACGTTTGTGGATGACTGCATGTTTCATATTCGTTGTAGTGGTGCGACCGACACGTTTTTTTCGTCTAGGGCACATCAGATTCAGTCTTATTAAGCTGTACATGAGCTGAAAACAGGAAAACACTACACTTTGTAGTGCTGTTCGAAAGCCGCTGTAGGCGTGTGTGCGCGGGGAGTCCTCTAGATGCCACAACAGACCCTTCGCCCTAACCATGCTGTAGGTTAGTTAGTTCTAGTTACATTTGTAGTCAGACAGTCCGAGTTCCAGGCTACATTTACTGACTTCTGTTCACTTATATTTATGAATTTGTTTCTTTCTCATGTAATTTCAGTTCAGTTTCTGGTACTCTAGTACATTTATGCGGGAAGGGATGTGCTTTTTACTTCATTGCATTTTAATCGTTCGCTTTCAGAGATTCCTTTGTGGGTTGAATTTCATTCTGTTCTCTTTGGATAGTATCTGGACTGATTTGCTGATGCTCACACCTCTTACATTAGAGCTTGTCATTTTGTTTTCAGATTAGAAGTATCAAAAAGGGAAGAATAGGATCTGACAAACTGTATAAGTAAGTTCTTTAGCATGATGGTTTTCAAAGTCCGGTAACACTTCATTTGGATGGTCCACTGTAGATGCTTTGTAAATGCTCGGTATATCTTTAAGTAACGTTCAGCTGAATATCCATTAAATGCAACTAAACTTTGAGTGTTATTTGAATGGTCCACTGTAGATGCTTTGTAAATGCTCAGTCTGTCTTTAAGTAACATTCAACTAAATTTCCAGTAAATACAACTGAACTTCAAGTCCAGTGTGAAAGAGTTTATTAAATCGAGCCCTAACCCTCACAAGAAAGGTTGTTAATGGTTTAAAGATCTGTAGAGCATCTACAGAGGACCCTCCTAATAAAGTGTGACCCAAAGTCCTACTCAGGTGTTTTTTTTGTTTTTTTTTGCTACTTCTACTTCAGTCAAATAACAGGGAAATTCCATGTTCTGACTTCCTGTTTTAAAGGTTTCTGGTATTACTCAGTCACGCTGACTTGTATATCAGTTTGTTCTGCTCACCATGTTCCAGGCCAGAAACACTGTTTTTATCACTGATAGATACAATTAATAAGTCATTATTTAAAAGTAAAACTGACTGAGAAATGACAAATGACAAATAGAATTGTCTAGTTTTATTACAAATATGCATTTGACTCAAGTTTTGCTGTTGATCCCAATTTTACATATTATGGTGTCAAAAGTTTAAGGTGAGGAATTGGTGTTGCTGTATTATATGTAAATATAATACCAATATATTCATTAATTCTTCTACTGTAGGTGACAATGTTCCCTGCCTGGGCACACCTCCTGGCAGTTACATCACTGGTGCTGTTTGGGGCGTGCTTAGTGGCAGTGCATGCTGACTGTGGCCCTGTTGCAGTGGAGACAGACAGTCGGCTGGCGGAGCAGACACAGCAGCAGCACCTGCATGCACTCTTCCTGAAGTATGGACAGAATGGCAGCATATCATTGGCTGGTCTTCAGAGATTGCTGGAGGGAGTGGGGCTAGACCGCATCAGGAAAGTAGTAGTTCAGCACCACGGAAACGAACACAATCACACACACTCACATTCACACTCACACCCGCATGCACACAAACACACCACACAGACACTCTCAGTGTCCAGCAAGAAGGAGAGTGACGGTTCTCATGTTGAGAAGAGTGACTCCACCCCCAACATGCATCCTGATTCTGTTTCTGGAAAGAAGAGCCAATCAGATGCTCACCATAATCTTTACATGAAGAGAGCTCCTGACTCGACTGCACTTTTGACCACACCCTCTTATGCCACAAAGTCCCGCAGAGCGAATCGCAGTGCAAACTACAACCTTGTGCAGGATGCCGATTCCCCTCAGTCTAATACAACACACTCTAACCAGACTGAGAACTTGTCCGCACATCATCTGGATATCCATGAGCATGATGATCATGAGCATGATCATGGCCAGACCAGCCTTAACTACAGTCAGGAGGTACACATACTCATAGCGCTACTGTTCAAACATACACGATCATCATTAACAAGCAGTTGAGTTTTAAATAGGGACTTTGTAGCCTGTTGTTAATGTTGATTATAGATGACTTAGTCGAACGTTTCACGCACTCTTTGGGTGAAGGATTTGCTATTTCATGATCCACGAAGTGCACTACATAGGGAAGATGGTGTGCTTTGAGACGGGACCTCGCGCGAGTAAACGCTGCGTGCTGCTTTTAGGAAAAGTTTCAGAGATGAAACTGTAGGAGTGTTTCTGCTGCAGCTCAGATGCATGTTAATTTTAAGTTATGTTTTAGTTTTTAATGCTTTTAGAGAAGCAGCTCCACAGGTGAAGACACGCTGTGTGAGTTCTACACTGTCTGCAGCTCACAGCGCGGTCACGCAATTCCTCTGTGATTTTGGCTGTTTTTCCTAGTGCACTGTATTGATTAGGGGTTCAGCGCCACAACGGCACAATAATGCTGCAGTTGCAGTTCGGACAGAAATCCCCCGAGTGCAGCACCTCTTAGAAGTAGTAATTTTCCATTAAGACCCACCTCAGAGTTGGTCGAGATTTAATTCTCTATGCAGGGAAATCCCTAGTTATTGTAATTAATATTAATAATAATAATAAGAAGAAAAAGAATAATAACAGTAATAATAATAATAACTGTAATAATACATTTGCTATTCTTTTGTTTACAGACTATTACAAGTATTGTAAGTAATACAAAAGTAATACTAAAAATGTGTTGACCTTATTAAAATAAAATTTGGTGAAACGAGTTTCAGTTCGTGTATCAGTATTTATTTTTTTATTTATTTTACTTTTCAAAACATTTGAACAATATCGCGATAATACCGATAATCGTGATAATTTTGGTCATGATAATCGTGATATGAAATTTTAATATCGTTTCATCTCTACTCTCTAATAAGTCTTAAGTTTAATAGTTGAAATAATAAAACTAGTATTCAGTGGGTTAACATATGGGAAGTGCAGAATTTGGCATCACATAGCAACCACTGATGTTTTTCCCATTGTTTCAGAAACCCAAATATGCCTAAATGTGTCCCTTTCTCTCAGTGCCAGAATGCCACCGCTATTTTGCAGTCCCATGGCATGTCCCAAGAAGTTATCCTCTCTGTACGAGACTTCAGTTTCCTTTGCCCTGCCCTCCTTGCGCAGATTGATTCCAAGTCCTGCCTTCTGCATCCTGAGAACCAGTCAGGTTAGAACATTGTCCAAATGATTTGTAAAGCCTGTCTTATGCTCAGTAATTGATGCAGTATGTTTAAGAGATGTGGTGGTTAAAATGTCACTTTTTCAGATTATAAAAATCACCGGCACCATGATGATGATCATCATCATCATCATCATCACCACCATCATCATGATCTACCCAATGACAAAACGCATAAGAGTTCCCCCATTCAGATTGGTAAGTATGTAATATATACATGCAAATAAAAAAGTATATTAAACATGTGTATGAGGAGATATATGGAATACAGTCTAGATTCCAGAGAGATGTGCCTGTGTGTCATATCTATGTATGTGTGTATTTAATGTGTGTATTGCAGCTTGGATTGGTGGGTTTCTCGCCATCACTATAATCAGCTTGCTGGCTCTGGTGGGCGTGGTCTTAATTCCACTCATGAACAGAGTCTGCTTTAACTTCCTGCTCAGCTTCTTGGTTGCCCTCGCTGTGGGCACACTTAGCGGAGACGCCTTCCTGCACCTTATACCACATGTATGATACACACACAATATACACACAGTTCTCTGTTCTAAACTAATTATTAGCTGTGTTGCATATGTTCCTTTGCATTCCAAAGCTTACACATATACAGCAGCAGTCTGGAGTCTTTCTTTTCTTTGACTTTCTTTTATCAGTC